CGAATCCTATGTTCGTTTTTGGCACCGTTCCACACAGTGATCTAACGCGTTGACTATCTTAAGTTACGATGTAGCCTTTTATTGGACGTTGGAATGAGGCTCTGGTTCTGTGGGTCAACCTCTGTGGGCAGCTCAGCCAAGTTCCATGTACAGTTAAGTCACATTTTGGTGCGTTCGGGTCCAGTTGATTAAATTCACGCGAAACGTTGGGAATTACGACAACGATTGCTGTTGTGAACCCTTATGTACAATGACATGTCATCGATCCCAATTGCGTGGATCGATGCTCATGATATCAATCACTGGATTGTCTGGTCCAGACTCGATTATTTACAGACCGCCGTCCTATAGCTGGAATATTTCTGAGTGCGGCGTAAAACAACAAACTAACCAACCAACACCGACCAAATCAATTACAGATATTAGACCTCATTACAGTCACGTTACAGTTATTTACCGCTTCATCAGCACAAAATCTCATATCCTTCCGCGACCATGTTTATTTAGCGATAAGGCTTTTACTCGCTTGTGGGAGCCAATATTTTGAAGTGGGTCCTCTCTTGGAATTGCAGACATGGACAGTGGCTCGCTTCCTATTGCGATGTTGAAGGGTGAATCAAAGTCCGACAAACCCGCTTATCTTATCGTACAGTATAATCTTTAAATCTTGTTTTGTGACCAGGAAAAAATGACTATTTCGGTACGACAGCTTGTCACTTTCACCTGTTCTTTATTCTTGAACCGCATTTGTAAACACGCAGCAATATGGTCATCTTCGCGACCGTAAAAGTCCAGTTTTCACCCTTGCCGGACTAGGCTGGAATTTCCGGGCTCTATCGTAGCGCCACCAGTGGCTATTACGAGTTATGTCCCTTCCATGTCCCTCCTATTGACCAATCAGATTCCACCTCTCATGTCACTTGCATTTGCTTCAAACAAAATGGCGGCGCCGAGTCCAGCACGATCTGATCGATAATCAAGATCTATAATTTGATGAAACGGGTCTTACATCGCGAAGTGCATCAAATCACGTGAGCACCTTGATTAAAAACATGAAAAGATTTGGAAAATATCTGTTGGCAACGGGTTGGCGGTGCATATGCTTTGCAAAATCTTGCAATCGGCCGAAATCTGCACGAAAGTTTACGAACCGGATTTCGATTTCGTTGCGCGATTTTGATTGGACTATGCAGAGACTCGTTAGTCCAGCCAAAATGTAACTCCATAATACCAGCCTAGTTCGGCAAGGTTGGAAACTGGACTTTTATAGTCAGTTAACTCTCTTGCCTCGGGAAGATGGGTGGTGACCCTTGGTCTTCCACTACGTGGTCGGTCATCTGTAGTGTTGGTGGTCTGGTACCGTTGCTGGAGCCTGTATATTGTCCTTACGTGGACTTGAAATGCATTGGCTACTCGCCGGGCGGTTTTTCCAGCTTGCAATCGTCCAAGAGCTTGGTGTCGCTGATTTCTTGTCAATCTTGGCATGTGGTAGTAATTCAACAACGAATGAATGTTATCCGATCTGGGTGGATTTTTATAAGGCAAGAAATGGGGGAACCCATGTGCATTTCAATTTGCACAGAACTCACGTGCATCGGGTTACCATGGCCGTTGCCGTGATGCGTTTTGGCGATCGGTTTTATTGTCATCTGCTTCGTTTTTTTATCATCAAATTTCATTTTTCCGGACAAGGTAATGTTAAATTTAAGAAACTTTGACAAAAAAATACCCAGATATTTAAATGACAACTTTTCATGCAATGTTACATGGGGTGATGTTTCATTTGCGCTTCAGTACATTTAACTAAATGCTACTTTTAACTTTCAGGGGCCTCCGTTTGACATTTTGATATTCTCCGTATGTCTGAAAATTGTTCTGCCCCTCAACCCTCTCCTCGTGGACAGGTGTGGTGTCCATTAATATTTTCAGACCGTCATGACGTCATGATATGACTGGAAAAATGCTAAAATCTCACTCTCACTTAACTGCACCGTCTGCGTGGTCTTGTGGATAGAGTGTTTGCCTGGAGAGCGGAAGATCAGTTGTTCGATCCCCGTCCGCGTCATACCAAGTGGGGCACGAGATATGGGCTCGAACATTGTACTAGAGTGAACGCTTTTACCGCAAGGCTACCTCACCTTTGCGTTTGCAGGGGCGGGATACGCTCATCTTTTCGCGAACACCTGGTGTCATCACTTTTGATAGTGATTCATAAACACATGCTCATGATACAGTCGGGATCCTGCAATAGATTCTGATTTTAGCAGAGATTTGTTATGAATATGGAAAGGATTTTGACGCTTTCATTTATGACGGTCTTTTTAGGGGTATTTTGGTGTAAGCACATGGACACACAGACCTAGGGTCATTCTGAAGATAAACATGTATACTTATTGGCCTCACTGTGTTGCAGATTCAGGAAGTGACGTCATAGTGTCAGGCGGATCATCAGAACATTGCGCCAGCGCAGTCGCGTGACGCCAGGGCCTCTTCAACGCGGCAACAGCATCATCGTATACGACTTGCTTCTGGTCCGACGTTAAAGACGAAGAGAACTGGAGCACGTTTTTATCGGACATGCTCAGAAACGTGACAGGGCGTATCCTTGACATCTCGTCCCAAACAGAAGAGAATGACACAGATTTGGGCAATACAGCAATACGAGATGAAATCTGGACGGGCAGAGTTGCGATATACGGCATTGGCGGAACGACGATTGCCTTATTTGGACTTGTAGCAAATGCAATGTCAATTGTAGTCCTGTCTCGATACAAACAAAAGTCGTCTGCTCCACTGTTGCTGATCCTGCTGGCCGTGTGCGACTCCCTGTTGCTAGGGTCGGAGTTGGTCTTGGAGACACTCGCCACTCTGGCTAGCGGCAAGGTAATCTCGGCCTCGTACATCGACTGGCTGACACCAGGTTACGTCATCTTTTTCCACGTCCCGTACATCGCCCAGACAGGGACAACGTACATGACCGTCCTCATCACTGTAGAACGCTACATCGCCGTCGTCAAGCCGTTCCTGGCGTCGCGGTTGTGCAGCAGGTCGGCTTCATGGAAAGCTAGTGCGGTCATCTTGGTATGGAGCGTCGTGTATCACACACCCAAGTATCTGGCTTACACGTCTTATGAACAATACCAGGCCGATACCAATTCCACAAAACTCATCTTCAACAGAACCGACTTTGGCAATGGGTTTTTCTATAACGAAGTGTTTATGGTATGGATAAATTTCACACTTGAGTTTTTTGTCCCAGTCTCAATCCTTGTTGTCCTCAATGTCTTGCTTCTAAAGGCTCTAAAGAAGAGCAAGAGCTTCGAGGTCAGCCGAGTTGGTGCAAGGGCGCAGAAAGGACAGCGTCTCACTGCCATGGTGTTGGCTGTGACCACTTTGTTCTTCTTCTGCGAGTTGTTTTCCGTCACGTCCCTCATAATGATTCGCGGCCTCAACCACTTCAGCGAATGTTCCGTTTTCTGCAACAATTTCATCGCCCTCGCGGACACCATGGTGATCGTAAACTCCGCCTCAAACTTCGTCCTCTATTGTGCCGTCGGGAAGAAGTTCAGGGATATATTCCTGCAGATGTTTTGCCGGATGCCGTTAAGGACGTTGCGGTCTTCGTCAAGTGACTCTAAGAACACTCGTAGTACGTCACAGGGTCATTCCAAAATGAAAAGCATAACAAAGATGGATCGTCGGGACGTGCTGTCAAATTAATACCTAATGTGGCCTCATGATGACTTGGACACTGCAACATGTTCATTCCATTGAGTGAGTTAGTGTGGCTTTAACCTGAGCTTAGCAATAAAACAAGGCGACGAAAAGCGACTGGACAGTGTCTGTTTTTGTGTAAGATATTTGGATGCGTGACCGTCAATGAAAAACAGATACCAGCAGTGACATGGTATAATATCATAATTTTGGTATTTTTAATGCGTGCGCGCGATTTTCCATATACAGCGATATTCCAGCTATATGGCAACGAATCTGGACCAGACAATCCAGGGATTGATATTGTGAACACGATCTACAGTGTCGGGGTACGATGACACGCCATGATCGAACCTGACCACCTGGTCCATTAAGTCGCCATATTCTAACCAGGAATCCCCTCGGGATCTCAATAATAAGACACAGCTTTAGCCCCAAAGCCTTGCTTAAACCGATCCACAATTTGCTGCCCTTCCTGAAACACACTCTATGCAGAGTCGAAAGACATCACGAAATACAAACAAAAACAACATTAATACTTTCCATTCTATTAGAGAAAATACATAAACAATTAGATCTGACATTGTAAAACAACCACGACGTCACGATTGTTTCAACTTAGATTAGACCGCCTCCGTGGTCTAGTGGTAGAGCGTCCTCCCGGAGAGCGGAAGGTCCGGCCGCGTCATACCAAAAGACGTTAAAAGATGGTACTTGTTGTTACCCTGTCTGGCGCTCGGCATTATGGGCTAAAACTGGTCGGCTCGGAGTCAGTATACTGTGTCTGAGTGGGGTATTCATGTTAAACTGCGGCATGGTATCTCAGTGAGCTAGCACTATAAATCGGCATCAGTCCGGACTAGTACAAGCAGCCACACACACACGTGCATGCACGTCGCTATATAAGTGCAATAATCTTGGACGCGACGTTAAACCCAATTTCACCTCACCTCAACTTAGATTATCTGTAACGAGTTGTCAGTTTACTGACCTGCATTCTGCAATGCACATATTAAGCTCATGCATTAATTCTAAGCATGCGCATTTCTGAATATCATATCGCTAACTTAAGTTATTTTTAACAGAAAATCAAACAAAGGATAGAATCAACAAAGAGGCATAGTTTCTTTTGCTCCTCAGTATATTAACGTTACGTCTAGGACCGGCTACCTCTTTAACCGCGCGTCTTCTGTTAAGCAAGTTTATCTAAAAGTCGTTACTCATAAGGCTATTAGCGAGAGCCAAAGAACTCAATCAACGACACCTGATTATTTACAAAATACACTGACTGTCATCGTTGGAACTATAACAGGCCAAGACAAACACAGAGCACTATTTCACGTGCGCTGCACGTGCCGGATCCAATCGTTTGCTCTCTTCCATTTGCTCGGCAGCAGACGACTTCAAGAACTTGAGCAAACATTAGCAACAGGCTTTTATTGCGAGACATATGCCCATTTGATTGGCTGACACGACGGATAAGTGGCCTCGATTACAATATGATGGGCTGTCAATGCCATCTGTAAATCAGAGTCTGCGGTATTCGTGAAGCCGATCTGGTGATATAAGCTGAGCGCGATCTCTGTCCACCATCACACTCCAGGGAGACACTACGTGCCACGACGGATACAGCAGAGCTGCGGTAGGTACCGTTTCATCATCTTGCCTTACAGAGAGACCTTAGTCCCTGGAATCCTAAACATTTTTCATCATTTGATGAAAATATCGGAGCTGTGGGGTAGCCTCGTGGTAAGAGCATTCGCTCGTCACGCCAAAGACTCGGCTTCGATTCCCCACATGGGTACAATGTGAGAAGGCAATATCTGATGTCCCGGTAGTGATATTGCTTGAATGTTGCTAAAAGCGGTGTAAAACCATACTCACTCACTGCTAAAAAGTCAAAGGTGACCCAATTCGCTGTGCAGAGTTGCGTCCCTAAGGCATACCGCGATCCTATGTTCGTGAGTTCGAATCCTATATTCGTTTTGGGTACCGTTCCACATGTACACAGTGATCTAACGCTGCGACTATCGTTAAGATCGTTAAGTTAAGATCGTCTTTTAATGGACGTTGGAATGAGGCTCTGGGCCCACTTGCACAAAGCGATCTTAGCGCTACGACTATTGTAAGCCTATGTTAAAGTATGGGAGTTACGATCATCTTAGTGCTAAGATCGCTTTGTGCAAGTGGGCCCAGGTGTGAGAACGGGTCAACGTCTGTGGGCACACCTTAGCCGAATTCCACGTAAACGTTGAGACAACGATTGATGTAGTGTACCCTTATATACAATGACACCGACCAAATCAATTACAGATATTAGGGCTCATTACACTCACAATACAGTTATTTACCGCTTCATCAGCACAAAATCTCATCTCCTTCCGCGACCATGTTTATTTAGCGATAAGGCTTTTACTCGCTTGTGGGAGCCAATATTTTGAAGTGGGTCCTCTTTTGGAATTGCAGATATGGACAGTGGTTCCCTTCCTATTGCGATGTTGAAGGGTGAATCAAAGTCCCACAAACCGCTTAACTAAATCGTTTAACGATTGACAAATGATAAATCGTACAATATTATGTTTATTTCTGGTTTCTGAGCAGGAAACAAAGACTATTTCGTAACGATAGCTCATCACTTTCACCTGTTCTTTGACCTTGAATCCCATATGCAAACACGCAGCAATATGGTCCGTGTCAGCAGGATCCAGATGTCTGATTAACTAAATGCTACTTTTAACTTTCAGGGGCCGTCCGTTCGACATTTTGATATTCTCCGTATGTCTGAAAATTGGTCTGTCCCTCCATCCTCTTAACCTTGGCACGTGTGCTATCCATTAATAGTGTCAGACCGTCATGACGTCATGATATGACTGGAAAAATGCTAAAATCTCACTCACTCACTCACTTAACTGGACCGTCTCCGTGGTCTAGTGGATAGAGTATCTGCCTGGAGAACGGAAGATCAGTTGTTCGATCCCCGTTCGCGTCACACCCAAAGACGTTAAAAGATGGTACCTATTGTTACTCTACCAGTCGCTCAGCATCAGTGGGCTATCCATGTTACACTGTCGAATGATCTCAATGATCTCGGTGGGGTAGCCTAGTGGTTAAAGCGTTTGCTCGTAAGGTCGAAGACCTAGGTTCAATTCCCCACACGGGTACAATGTGTGAAGCCCATTTCTGGTGTCCCCCGCCATGATATTGCTGGAATATTGCAAAAAGTGGCGTAAAACCGTACTCACTCTCACTCACTCACACAAACTGCCGCAATGGGCTAGCACTATAAAACCGGCATTAGTCAAACAACATAAACTGGTTCAGCTGGATATAGGTTTGATTGCCGTATTAACCCTGATATAAGTGATATATGTGACTTGCACATGCTGACACTGTATCTTTTACACGTCATGACTTGTTGTGAGGGGGCATGACTTCTAAGGCGCCGCGATTCGCTGTGCAGAGTTGCGTCCCTTGGGCACGCCAAAAACCTGTGACTGTGGGTTCGAATCCCGGTTCGCCCCGATTATGTTTCCCCACATTAAGCTGACACGCCGCGATATAAGTGGAATACTGTTAAAAGCGGCGTTAAACCCAACGAACTCACTCATGACTTGTGACGAGTGAGTACATTGTTTACGCCGGATTAGCAAAATTCCAGTAATAACACGGCTAGGGGACACTAGAAATGGGCTTCAAACATTGCATTCATATCGACGCGAGTGAACGCTTTAACCACACGTCTCTACCTTACCGCTTTCCTGACGGTCTGTTGTGGGGTATTTTTGTGTAAGCACATGCACACTAAGACGTAGGGTCATTCTGAGGCTAAACATACCAACCTCCAAGATTACTTATTGGTTCCAATGTGTTGCAGATTCAGGAAGTGACGTCATAGTGTCGGACCATCTGAATATTGCGCCAGTACAGACGCGTGACTTCAACGCGCCAACAGCTTCATCGTTTACGACCTGCTTCTGGTCCGACGTGGACGAATGTGACGCCTGTAAACGACGGAATGTATGGAGAGAGCTGGAGCATGCGCTCGTTTTTATCGGACATGCTCGGAAACGTGACAGGACGTATCCTCGACATATCGCCCCAAACAGAAGAGAATGACACAGATTTGGGCAAAACGATAATACGAGACGAAATCTGGACAGGCAGAGTTGCGATAAACGGCATTGGCGGAACGACGATTGCCTTATTTGGTCTTGTAGCAAATGCAATGTCAATTGTAGTCCTGTCTCGATACAAACAAAAGTCGTCTGCTCCACTGTTGCTGATCCTGCTGGCCGTGTGCGACTCCCTGTTGCTAGGGTCGGAGTTGGTCCTGGAGACACTCGCCACTCTGGCTAGCGGCAAGGTAATCTCGGCCTCGTACATCGACTGGCTGACACCAGGTTACGTCATCTTTTTCCACGTCCCGTTCATCGCCCAGACAGGAACAACGTACATGACCGTCCTCATCACTGTAGAACGCTACATCGCCGTCGTCAAGCCGTTCCTGGCGTCGCGGTTGTGCAGCAGATCGGCTGCATGGAAAGCTAGTGCGGTTATCTTGGTATGGAGCGTCGTGTATCACACACCCAAGTATCTGGCTTACACGTCTTATGAACAATACCAGGCCGATACCAATTCCACAAAACTCATCTTCAACAGAACCGACTTTGGAAATGGGTTTTTCTTTAATGAAGTGTTTATGGTATGGATAAATTTCACACTTGAGTTTTTTGTCCCATTCTCAATCCTTGTTGTCCTCAACGTCTTGCTTATAAGGGCTCTAAAGAAGAGCAAGAGCTTCGAGGTCAGCCGAGTTGGTGCTAGGGCGCGGAAAGGACAGCGTCTCACTGCCATGGTGTTGGCTGTGACCACTTTGTTCTTCTTCTGCGAGTTGTTTTCCGTCACGTCCATCATAATGATTCGCGGCCTCAACCAATACAGCGAGTGTTCCGTCTTCTGCAACAACTTCCTTGCCCTCGCGGACACCATGGTGATCGTAAACTCCGCCTCAAATTTCGTCCTCTATTGTGCCGTCGGGAAGAAGTTCAGGGATATATTCCTGCAGATGTTTTGCCGGATGCCGTTGAGGAAGTCGCGTTCTTCGTCAAGTAACTCCAACAACACTCGTAGTACGTCACAGGGCCATTCCAAAATGATAAGCATGACGAAGATGGATCGTCGGGACGTGCTGTCAAATTAATGCCTAATATGGCCTCATGAAGACTCGGACACTGCAACAGGTTTATTCCATTGAGTGAGTTGATGTGGCTTTAATCTATGCTTAGCAATAAAACAACCGTGTGAAGGCGACTAAAACAACTGGAGGTGTCTGTTTTTGTGTAAGAAACACTGGGATCAGCGACCGTCAATGAACAGGTACTAACAGGGGGATTGTGTACAGATGCGGGATTGATCTTCACACTGTCATCAAACATCTAACCAATTTCTATTGCGTCGAAAGGGGAACGGGATGTCCTGTTGTCTATAAAAGACGCCGCAATTATATGTGCAGACTTGCGTCCCTTGGTCACACCAGACACCTGTGATCGTGGGTTCGCCCTGATTATTTTTCTTGGTTTGTCAGCACCAAACCCATGCTCGCGGTAAAGTGGTAAACATCTGAGACATGCATCATGTCTAGCTTTCCTCCCACATTGAGCTGACACGCCAGAAGGGGGACCTGAAGTGACGCAAGTCTTAGACGTTTACCACTTTGGTGAATCGGGTATGGTGCTGACAAACCTAGAAACATAATAGGGGCGAACAGGGATTCGAACCCACGATCATTGGTTCCTGGGCAACCCTTTGACCTTAAGGAGACGTCTGACTTTTGGGCTCTGTGTATCAACTCAAGTCTAGTCTGTTTTGGTATTTCTCAACTTGGGTACTTTCAATGTATGCGTGCGTGCGTGCGTTCCGCACTCAGCAATATTCAAGTTATATGACAGCGGCCTGTAATTCAGACAATCCAGACATAATATTGTGACCAACGACACAACAACCAAGTCACCGAACCTGACCACCCGATCCACTAAGTCGCCTTCTTCGTACCTGGAATACCCTCGGGATTTCAATAATAAGAGACAGCTTTAGCCCAATAACCTAGCTTAACCCCATCCACAAATAACTGTCCTTCCTTGAACACACAAAATGCAGAGTCGGAAGACATCACGAAATACAAAACAAAAACACAATTAATATTTTCCATTCTGTTAGAGAAAATACAAACACGATTCAATCAACGTAACATTAAAATACAGCCATGACGTCATTATTTTTTTCAACTTAGGGTTATCTGTAACAAATTAACAGTAACCTACTGACCTACTTTCTGCAAGGCAAATGTTAAGATCATGCATCTATTGTATTGTGAATGCGCTGGCTTCAACGATCAAATAGCGCATAAAGCACGTGGAGCACGGTCAAACAGAATAGGTCCCCATCATTCCATGCTGTTTGTTGTAAGAGTCGACTAAAATGGGGATCAGGTGAGTTGCAGTGCATGCCTTCAGTCACTCGTTTCCCTGGTAACCCGGATCATCCCGCCATGACATACACGTACCTGTACACTGCTGACTCGTGCTCGGCATTTAAAGACCAAGGATCATAATCAGGGGAACCCGGGAACTATGAAGTGAGTGAGTGTTGTTTAACGCCTCACTCAGCCAATATCCCAGCTACATGACGGAGGTCTGTAAATAATCGAATCCAGTGACATGGGAATCGACCTACGCAACCTGGAAATTGAGCTCAACGTCGCGTCCAAGATTAAGATTATTGCACTAATACGTGTGTGTGTGTGTGTGTGTGTGTGTGTGTGTGTGTGTCCGCTTGTACTTGTCCGGACTAATGCCGATTTGGTAGTCCTAGCCCGCTGAGATACCATGCCGCAGTATAACATGAACATTTGTGTGTTCTTTAATGCCGTACTCAGTAATATTCCAGCTATATGACGGCGGTCCTTTAAATAATCGAGTCTGGACCAGACAAACAGTCATTGATGTCATGAACATCGATCCACGCAATTGGGATACCATGACATGCATCAACCAAGTCAGCGAGCCAGACCACCCGATCCCGAGCATAGTCGCCTATTGTGGCAAGCATGGGTTGCTGGAGACTGCTATTCTAACCCGGATCTTATAAACACCCCACTCAGACAGTTTTCTGACTCCGAGCCGAACAGTCCTTGTTTCAGCCCCTTAATGCCGGGCGCCAGGCTAACAACAAGTACCATATTTAAACGTCTTTTGGTATGACACGGCCGAGGATCGAATCCCGGACCTTCAGCTCTCCTGGCGGAGCTCTACCACTAGACCACGGAGGCGGTCCTGTACGCAACTGAGATACACGATGAGCATCAATCAAGTCTACGAGCCCTACCACTCGAAGGGAAAGGGGGGGAGGGTTCAGAGAGTGAGTGATTAACGCCATTTTTAACAGTATTTCCGCTCTGTATATAATGAAATTTAAATGCAGCAAACACAATTTGAAAACATATTAGAAGTTATATATAGTTTATTTGACAACCACCAGCCGATTTGTATCGTACCATGTCCAACGTAATATCAGAGTGACAAGGGGATCCTTGAAAAGCAAATGTGGTATGTTGTAGACATTTTTTCCCCTCCCCACTGAGTGACGATTTTGATATTTTGAACCCCTCCCTTTAAAAAATGCAGGATCCGCAAACGAAAACTTTAACCATTTGACTACACAATCGGCAGCAGGCATTTTATTCTGGATCAAATATTTGATGTCAACGTTTGCAAGTCACAAAGATGTGAGGTGAAATGGGGGTTAACGTCGCGTTTTTTTAAAGACTATTGCACTTATATAGCGACGTGCATGCACGTATGTGTGTATGTGTGTGTGTGTGTGTGGCTACTTGTACTAGTCTGGACTGATGCCGATTTATAGTGCTAGCACACTGAGGTACCATGCCGCAGTTTAACATGAACACCCCACTCAGACACAGTATACTGACTCCGAGCCAACCGGTCCTTGTTTTAGACCCTTAATGCCGAGCGCCAGAGAGGGTAACAACAAGTACCATCGTTTAACGTCTTTTGGTATGACGCGGCCGGGGATCGAACCCCGGACCTTCCGCTCTCCGGGTGGACGCTCTACCACTAGACCACGGAGGCGGTGCAAGTCACAAAGAGAGTGGCCTGGTTGGCTTAGACATTTAATCACAATTCCACACGTCAAACCCATTAGGAAGGTTGGTTGGTTGTTTAACGCCGCACTCAGCAATATTCCAGCTATATGACGGCGGTCTGTAAATAATCGAGTCTGGACCAGACAATCCAGTGATTCATATCATGAGCATCGATCCATGCAATTGGGATCGATGACATTCATCAACCAAGTCAGCGAGCCTGACCACCTCATCCCGTTAGTCGCCTTTTACGACAAGCATAGTCACCTTTTACGGCAAGCATGGGTTGCTGAAGACCTATTCTACCCCGGAATCTTCACGGGTATATGGCCGAGGGGGCGTTAAACAACAAACAAAAACGTAACGAAGAAGAGAAGGTATCATTAACATTGGAAAACATTTATTCCCAAATATGTCCGGACGGAATGTGAATGTGAACATTTAGGGCTATATAACATGAAATACACAAAACACCAGGCAGTGCTATTACGTCCTCGCTTATTGTAATGGAATATGAAAATGGTACCACCCACTGAGGTGGATGTGGTAACATGGTTATCTTTTCACGCAAACAATATTTGATTGGTGGTGCCTCGTCTGGCGATGACGTCAAGACTGACCATCGCCAAAAAACAATGTGTCAAATAAACATATTATCACCAAGATAATGATAAACTACGGTGAATATCACCCCAGGTTTCAATATCAAACTCGTCATACACATGTTTTATGGACACGATTAAATGTAATAGAAGTTGACAAAAGCTTGATGGCTACAATAATTGTTGGTGAAACGGCCAGTATCATTTAACTCCGAATCCCGAGTGCTCACTGCTGTGTGAAGCATCGTTGTTTACGAGTTGTTGATAGGCATTTACAACATAATTGTGTCAACAGGAAATGAAACGCCAGGGATTTAATCATACATACAGGATTTATACCGTTTCCGATAATTAAAACAAACGATTGTTCTGCAATAGTTTTAATGTGAGCAGTCCGATATGTCCATTAATGACTGAAGAAATCCCCAACACACCACGTTTTGTAACATAATCGCTATCAACATCCCATCTTTATCACATCAACAAAGGTCAACAGGGTTTATTCAAAGCAGAAATAGAGAATTAAACAGAGGCTGGAAACGAAGCCGTTTGCACTGCGGTATCGTGGAACCCATGCTGTCTGAAAACTGTATCTCATAAAACAGTACTCTGGTGTGGTGATGAGGTGAAATGGGGTTTAACGAGATGCTAGCTGGTGATGTAAGGTTCATAATTAGCTGGGCGCCGTTCCACAAAGCGATTTTGGTGCTAAGTCTGTCGTAAGTCTATGTTAAAGTAATGGAGTTACGATCATCTTAGCGCTACGATCGCTTTGTGGAACGCGGCCCTGGGCGCCGTTGTACAAAATAACCTTAGCACTACGACTGTCGTAAGTCTATGTTAAGGTATGGGAGTCACGTAAGATCGCTTTTTACAACGGCACCCTGGACTCCGATCTTAGCGCTACGATTGTCTAAAGTTTATATAAAATCGTAAAATCGTCTTAGCGCTAAGATCGTCTGTGGAACGGAACCCAGATAAACATGCTGTTGGGAACGACATAAACAACCAACACACTCTGGATACTTAATGGTCCTATCAAACCCCGTAAAGGTAGAATTCTCATTATGTGTTCTTCTCCGACAAACTGCTAAATATCAGAGATCATTGTCATTTCACTTGAAGAATTAGTGAGTGAGTGAGTACATGTAGCTTAAAGCCGCATCAGAAATATTCCAGCTATTCGCGGCTGTTGTGAAGAAATAGCCTTTACATCTGACAGACCCCTCGGTCAAACATGTAAATATTTGCAACGGTCCAAAATCAACACAATCATTCCTTGAAAGGCAGAGGTTACCAATGAAGAAACCAGAATGTTTGAAATTTAGTAATGGTTTTGTCCCTTTAACAGAGGGAGTTGGCAAGTTGCCTTATTAGTCCCCATAAATGACTCTAGTATTTAAGTTGATGTTTTAATTTGACTCTTGTGCAAACTATCCATGGGGGCTAATTAAGAATCAATTAAGTGGGCAGACATCCCTTACAGGAACATTCCAATGTGCATGTGGTCTTTGAAAGAGCTTTGTCACATGCATAAATCTTCATACATTTCATACTTGCTAAGTCCTTTTTTTAAATTGGGTTTATAGATCCTCCGACCCAAATACTGAGAAAATGATGGAAAAACTACAGAAACAAAATGTATTTCTCCAATCTTGCAAGGCCCAAACTAACGACTGTGCCATCAAAATTCACTACTTTTCGGAATGGCTTCAGCAATGCTTTATGTGACAAGGCAGTGTTGGCAGTATCATTAGCCACGTCTGAGTACCTTACCTTGTCATCTCAAAATGTGTTTTTGGACTTTTTTCCCACCGAAATGATTTAAAAAAAAATCTGTAAACCAATCAAAGAAAATTAGGCCTAATGCATCGGTGGCATTTGTTTGATGTACAAATGAATAAAAGGAGCCTGATGTAAGGCTAGCTCTTCAACAGCAAGACTTGTTATTGGCTCCATATTATTATACAAACAAGTGACTGCAGTAGAGGCCATTTTCATAAAGCAATACCCTATTGAATCTCCTGGCTGGCAACATGAAGATCGGTTGTAGCTCTCAGCATCCTAAAGGAACATGTGTAGGTTATGAGGTTAATCCACTACAGACAGGTCTGGTTCTTCAGATCTCAAGCAATACTTTGCCATATTTTGTTTCCATGTGTCACATAAACAATGTCAGGCCTTGTTAAGTGAACGTTGTGTAACCAACCTGTACATAATAACCATTACACAAAGGGGCCATAAACTGATATAAAACACAAACTCAATGGTGCAGTCACAGAATACTGACTCCCTGGGAGAGATAAAGGACAATTTCCCACCAATAATTCCATGTCGTAATTCAAGCATCTGTCACGTTTTTGGACATGACTGCCGTTACAACTGTAATTGTGCTAATGTTTATTTCAACTGTACAAATGTAATATATTTGAAATGGTATGTTCAACAGTTCTAAATGTAAATATAGATCTCAGTTCAAACTCAGTTGTAACAGTTCATGATAACCAATGCATGGATCAATTCATGATGTTACAGTCAGTTGTTCATGATGTTCAATTACATTCAAACTGTTCATGTTACTATATCAGCTGTTCGTGATGTTGCTGTTCTTGATGTTGCAGTCATTTGTCATGATGTTATCATTAGTTGTTCATGATGTTCAATAATCCATGCATGGATTACATTCAAATTGTTCATGTTACTATATCAGCTGTTCGTGATGTTGCTGTTCTTGATTTTGCAGTCATTTGTCATGATGTTATCATTAGTTGTTCATGATGTTCAATAATCCATGCATGGATTACATTCAAATTGTTCATGTTACTATATCAGCTGTTCATGATGTTGCTGTCAGCTGTTCATGACGTTGCTGTCAGCTGTTCATGATGTTGCTGTCAGCTGTTCATGATGTTACTACCGGCTGTTCATGATGTTGAGCTCCTCTTCTTCCTGTTTGTCTGTCATGGCTGTGACCAGCGTCCCAAGGAACTTGTAGAATTCTTGGCGAACACCTTCAGCGTCCTCCTCAATGTTGGTGTGAACCGTCTTTATTTTGCTAAAACTAGCCGCTGTCAAGGAAATAACAATCATGCTTAACATGCTGACATTCACTCACTAAATACCTGGTAACTATTTGGAACAGCATATTGTTTTAAATAACTTTAATTTTGATAAGATGCATAAAACATTAGTGTGTTTGTGAGTGCATGTGTATGTGGGCGGTCGGGTAGCACAGTGGTTAAAGCATTCACTCGCCACACCGAAGACCCGGGTTCGATTCCCGACATGGGTACAATGTGTGAAGCCCATTTCTGGTGTCCCCCGCCATGATATTGCTGGAATATTGCTAAAAGTGGCGTAAAACCAAACTCACTCACTCACTCACATGTGTGTGTGTTGTTGTTTTGGGCTGCACTCAGCAATATTCAAGCTATGTGACAGCTGCCTGTAAATAATCATGTCTAGACCAGACAATCCAGTGATTGATATCATTAGTATCGATCCACACAATTGGGGTAAGATGAAAAGCTTCAACCAAGTCAGTGCGTGTGACCACACGATCCTGTTAGTCGCCTCTTACGACCAGCATAATCGCCTCTTACGGCAAGTAAGGGTTGGTGAAGACCTATTCTACCCCGGATCTTCACTGGTTCCCTCATTTTAGGGGTACAAACATGAAGACACGGAGACCTGACAAGGTGCAAGAAGCAGCCCTGCACTACCTCACAAACCAATAGGATGATCTACCCATACAGAGCTCTCATACCTTCTTGTTCTTCCAACTTCTAAATGCCCATCAAAGATTTTAACATAAAGTTCACACAACAAACTTTTTTCGTGGACAAGCTTCCTGCCACATGACTCCAAACACTGACATTCGTTAAGAGAGTGTTTGCCAAATAGATTGATTCATCAACCTTTCACGTCTATGAGTGAGTGAGTTGGGTTTAACGCCGCATTGAACAGTATTCCAGTTATTTCCTGGCATGTCAGCTTAATGTGGGAGGAAAGCCCAAAGTGATGCAGGTCTCAGACGTTTACCACTTTGTTGAAACCCACAAGCACGGGTATGGTGCTGACAAACCTAGAAACATAATCGGGGCGAACTGGGATTCGAACCCACAATCATAGGTTTCTAGGCACCCCCTGTCCCCCTTGTTTATGTCTTTGACCACTTGTAGATGATACAATATATACCTGACAATTCTCAATAATTCAAATGATCAAACAAAATCTGCAAATCCCATGAAATAGGAATTATAACGTCTTTGTTAATACTTACCTTTGAACCGGTCGTGAAAATATGGAATAACTGAAATTACTACATTCTACAAATGCCCCACATATTACTGAGTTGTCTCCCTTTTGCCACTTCACTCTTCCTTATTAAAATCAGGGCCCACTTGCACAAAGTGATCTTGATCCTAACTCCCATGCTTACAATAGTCGTAGCGCTAAGATTGCTTTGTGCAAGTGGGCCCAGGTCTTACCGGTAGTTCTTGCTACTGCTGAACAAGGGCTTGGTGAAGCAGTAGCAAGAACTAAGATGCCATTTCAATGAGATAGCATTTCAGAAAGTACTACACAGTACACAAGATGTAGAGAGTCATATTTCACTATTCTCAACCTTTTACTTCCTTTTCTAATCACTGACAAGCAGATAATAAGAATTAATCATGTTAGTTATTGTACAGGAATCTTTTTTTATATTTCTGTAAATACAGCATATTACCAATGATTACAATGAGCGTAACTGGTTGCAAATTTCAGTTTCATTAAATTAATTTTGCAAACAACCTCAACAAATTTCAGTTTCATTAAATTAATTTTGCAAACAACCTCGTTGATTGCATAATAAGAGAACCATAAGTGATTGATTATTATTCAGGTTATGAAAAAAATTATAATGGCTGAATGGGTCAATTTCCTTTGCAGATTCATACTGTTTGCACATTAGTTTCTCCCAGTGGGCTAGGACAATGAACCAAATCAAATAGATCCTAAAATAAAGGAGAACACTTTAAGACTTTATTTCAATCAATGAACAACACAACATGGCTGTAACTGTAACTTCAGTTTGTCTCCACTACAAGTCCTGTACTCCTATAGTTGCAACTCATCCACATTTATCGTGTTCTTCACAGCTTAGGTAATATGAAAAGGTGGGGTTTACCTGAGGCAGCAAACTTGTTTTCCAAAAGTCTTGAATTCTTAATCAATGTTCATTTTGATGAAAAAAAGGCTTAGGTATTTGGAGTTACATGATTAAGTAAGATATTGATACGTGGATCTTTAAAATACTTTATGATTTGAAGCCAATTTGAAGTGGTTAACATGGTTAATGAGTGATAGCAACTTCCAACTAGATTTGTGCCCTGTTTTGTTTGTTTGTTTGTTGTTTAATGCCTCACTCAGCAATATTCCAGCTATATGACGGTGGTCTGTAAATAAGAGTCTGGACCAGACAATCCAGTGATTGACAACATGAGCATTTATCCACGCAATTGGGATTGATGACATGCATCAACTAAGTCAGTGAGCCTGACCACCCCATCTTGTTAGTCGCCTTTTACGACAAGCATAGTCGCCTTTTACGGCAAGCATGGGTTGCTTAAGACCTATTCTACCCCAGATCTTAATGGGCCCTGTGCCCTGTAGATAGTCATAGTTATTGTGTTATGATGTTATCATTTCATAACATCCCTTGATTAGAAGACTAATGACGAACAACCCCAATGAATGGCCTTTCCTGTTTTGGATTCTTTTGACAGCTTAGTCGATGACGTTTAACTGTTTGTTACAGTGGCGTGTTTGTTTGTTGTTCAAAGATGCAAGCAATATTCCAGCTATATGACGATTGCCTGTAAATAATAGAGTCTGGACCTGACAATACAGTGATTGATATTGTGTTAACAATGATCCATGTCGTCGGGGTATGTTGACATGCCATCAACCAAGTCAACAAGCCTGACCACCGATCTATTGCTAGGGACCGATTCTAAGCCGGTATCTCCACGGGTGTTTATGACTGTGGTGCTGTGCCAGTAAATCTTTATTTGTTGACAATTGTGGGTACTTGATGCCATGCCTAGCTGCCTGGAAGCAGGAGTAGAGACTTACACATGGCATCATCTGCTTAGCAACAGTAACCATAGTAACTACATACAACATGTGCAGTCCAATGAGATATTGTAACAGCAAAACCATCATCAGTCAATTTTAACATTATTTTCAAAAAGTGTTTAGTGGGTCATGGAGTGTTTTATGCCTGGATATAGGAGAAACGCCATGGCAACAAATACCTGGTATACATAATTTGATCAAATAATACCTCAGTGATTATATCAAGAACAAACAATAATAGTCAAAAGCTACATTCCCCAAACTAATTTTTAAAATTTATTTTCATAAATGTTATTTAGAATATTTTCTTACACATTTTTGAAATGTTTAAAGGTATCAAGTCTTTGAAAGGCATCTAGAAGTGATACACATAAGGTAGAGAATTTATAGATGTCAACTTCTTTATTATGAGGAAATACCGGTAATGAAGAAGTTGACATCCATAAATTCTCTTTATTTTTGATTAAAGGTAGAGAAAAAGTCCTGATTAACATGATTAATGCATTTACCAGTTCAGTTGGTAATCTCTTACAGCATATTTACAGGAGCAAAACAGAAATTACATAAACGAGACATTTTTCAAGACAGTGTCATTTTCCATAAATAAACAATCTTAGCATGCTTTATAGATATTTACACTTTTACCTAGCGCAACTGAATCTGAGGTATTTTGTTTGTTAGTTGTTTAACCTAGCAATCAGCAATATTCCCGCTATATGATGTAAATAATTGATTCTTGACCAGACAGTGATTGACATCGTGAGCAACATCCACACAATAGAGATACGATGACATGCATCAACCCAGTCAGTGATCCATAACCTCTTACGATAAGCATGGGTTGTTGAAGATCAACCCTAACCCGGATCTTCACCAGGGTTCTTGGTTTGTAATCACCCTATTCTGTGGCCAAAGTACATGTCTCGGAACTGTACCACTGCATGCTTATACCTCACGTTAAGACGTCATGTCATGATGTAAGTCATGCATGGATCCAGGATACAGGTGTTAAAAAAACATATCATTTGGCAACCTTAGCACACCCTCGAACACCCTTAGCCTTAAATTGACTTCACTACTTGAGTTTCTTTGATAGGCATTTAGAAGTTGGAGTACTAAGTAAGCTCACTGGTTGAGGCTTGCTATTGTTGGAATGCTAAGATGACAGGAATCTTACAACTTACACAAACAACAGTGTGACATAAATGTTTCATTACCAAAGCACATTTACTTATGGCTAAACAGACCCACATTACAACACTACATAGAAATATAGAAATAAAAACAATCTCTTATTGAAGTATATTAAATTGCGCCACAGTCTTCAACAAGTACACCATGAGACATGACTCAGCTTGTAGTGATATCAAAGGCAAAATGTATAAATATGAACGTTAAATTGTGAATAGAATTGAAAAGATTTCAGTATTCTATTAAGTACCAATAAACTGGCATGAAATTGTAGCAACATATCATCTTATTCCTTAAAAGCATCTTTCATAAATCTGAAATAGGCTGTGGTACTAATGTAATGTATTTAAAAGATTTTCTCAATGTTTATGATATATTAGTGAGACCAGACACCATAAAAATGTATTTTATGGTCTCTGGTGAGACAAACTACTGCTAACAAAGGGAGGTAAGTGATGGAGGTGTGTATTACTCACACAACTGCGTGCGTTCCTGGTCGGAAGTTTGGGGTTTGTGGTGTGCGAACACGATGCTCTGGTACTCCCTTAACCCTTGCTGCTCCATGAAATAGCTATACCTGGATGTACAGAGTAGGTGCATGTCACACATACATCAGGGGTTAACAGGACAAACACTGCAAGATGAGATGCTGGAACCTTAAGCTTTGGAGTTTCTTGGGGAACTATTGACAAATAGAATACTGGGGTGGATGTTGTCAGTGAGTGACTTGGTGGAGTGATGTGGAGTTTAACGTTGCATTCAAGATTATTGCACTAATATAGCAACATGCATGCACGTGTGTGTATGTGTGTACGTGGCTGCTTTTACTACTCCGGACGAATGCCGATTTCGTAGTGCTAGCCCACTGAGATACCATACCGCAGTTTAACATGAATACCCAACTCAGACACAGTATACTGACTCAAGGCCTGTGTTTTAGCCCCTTAATGCTGAGCACCAGTACGATAATTGAATGTCTCTTGGTATTAAGCGACCGGGGATTGAACCCATGACCTTCCCCTCTTCGGGCGGACACTCTATCCAGGAGACCACGGAGGCGGTCAGTAAAGATGGAGAGGCATGGAAATGTTGTCTTGGGGTGGATTTTGCCAGTGAGTAACTGGGGTGGCAAGGAGATATCATATTGGGGTGGATGAATAAATAAGCTGATTTTTTTCAGGGCAAATGGAGTTAATATTGGCAATAATGTATATTTGGTGTACACATTTCAAGATATATGTCCTCGACAGGTTGTGGGTAGACAATGGCAGGGTGTATATGATGGAGTGGGTTGGGTAGGTGCATGTTTCTCGGTGACACTGATCAGGGTGTATATGAAGGAGTGGGGTGGGTAGGTGCATGTTTCTCGGTGACACTGATCAGGGTGTATATGAAGGAGTGGGGTGGGTAGGTGCATGTTTCTCGGTGACATTGATCGGGGTGTATATGATGGAGTGGGTTGGGTAGGTGCATGTTTCTCTGTGACATTGACCAGGGTGTATATGATGGAGTGGGTTGGGCAGGTGCATGTTTCTCAGTGACACTGACCAGGGTGTTACCAGGGTGTATATGATGGAGTGGGTTGGGTAGGTGCATGTTTCTCGGTGACACTGATCAGGGTGTATATGATGGAGTGGGTTGGGTAGGTGCATGTTTCTCGGTGACACTGCCCAGGGTGTATATGATGGAGTGGGTTCGGTAGGTGCATGTTTCTCGGTGACACTGACAAGGGTGTATATGATGGAGTGGGTTGGGTAGGTGCATGTTTCTCGGTGACATTGACCAGGGTGTATATGATGGAGTGGGTTGGGTAGGTGCATGTTTCTCTGTGACATTGACCAGGGTGTATATGATGGAGTGGGTTGGGCAGGTGCATGTTTCTCAGTGACACTGACCAGGGTGTTACCAGGGTGTATATGATGGAGTGGGTTGGGTAGGTGCATGTTTCTCGGTGACACTGATCAGGGTGTATATGATGGAGTGGGTTGGGTAGGTGCATGTTTCTCGGTTTCATCAGTAATGATGGAGAGGCATGGAAATGTTGTCTTGGGGTGGATTTTGCCAGTGAGTAACTGGGGTGGCAAGGAGATATCATATTGGGGTGGATGAATAAATAAGCTGATTTTTTCAGGGCAAATGGAGTTAATATTGGCAATAATGTATATTTGGTGTACACATTTCAAGATATATGTCCTCGGCAGGTTCTGGGTAGACAATGGCAAGGTGTATATGATGGAGTGGGTTGGGTAGGTGCATGTTTCTCGGTGACACTGATCAGGGTGTATATGAAGGAGTGGGGTGGGTAGGTGCATGTTTCTCGGTGACACTGATCAGGGTGTATATGAAGGAGTGGGGTGGGTAGGTGCATGTTTCTCGGTGACATTGATCGGGGTGTATATGATGGAGTGGGTTGGGTAGGTGCATGTTTCTCTGTGACATTGACCAGGGTGTATATGATGGAGTGGGTTGGGCAGGTGCATGTTTCTCAGTGACACTGACCAGGGTGTTACCAGGGTGTATATGATGGAGTGGGTTGGGTAGGTGCATGTTTCTCGGTGACACTGATCAGGGTGTATATGATGGAGTGGGTTGGGTAGGTGCATGTTTCTCGGTGACACTGCCCAGGGTGTATATGATGGAGTGGGTTGGGTCGGTACATGTTTCTCAGTGACACTGACCAGGGTGTATATGATGGAGTGGGTTGGGTAGGTGCATGTTTCTCGGTGACATTGACAAGGGTGTATATGATGGAGTGGGATGGGTAGGTGCATGTTTCTCGGTGACATTGACCAGGGTGTATATGATGGAGTGGGTTGGGTAGGTGCATGTTTCTCGGTGACACTGCCCAGGGTGTATATGATGGAGTGGGTTGGGTAGGTGCATGTTTCTCAGTGACACTGACCAGGGTGTATATGATGGAGTGGGTTGGGTAGGTGCATGTTTCTCGGTGACATTGACCAGGGTGTATATGATGGAGTGGGTTGGGTAGGTGCATGTTTCTCGGTGACACTGATCAGGGTGTATATGATGGAGTGGGTTGGGCAGGTGCATGTTTCTCTGTGACACTGACAAGGGTGTATATGATGGAGTGGGTTGGGTAGGTGCATGTTTCTCGGTGACACTGCCCAGGGTGTATATGATGGAGTGGGTTGGGTAGGTGCATGTTTCTCAGTGACACTGACCAGGGTGTATATGATGGAGTGGGTTGGGCAGGTGCATGTTTCTCTGTGACACTGACAAGGGTGTATATGATGGAGTGGGTTGGGTAGGTGCATGTTTCTCGGTGACACTGCCCAGGGTGTTACCAGGGTGTATATGATGGAGTGGGTTGGGTAGGTGCATGTTTCTCGGTGACACTTCCCAGGGTGTTACCAGGGTGTATATGATGGAGTGGGTTGGGTAGGTGCATGTTTCTCGGTGACAATGACCAGGGTGTTACCAGGGTGTATAATTAAGGGAGCAGGTTAGTTGGTGCTTATCAAGGGATACTGTGAGACATTGTGCATATCTCCACTGATACAAGAAAAGCATCTTGAAGTTGAAACAGCTGCAATCAAGGCAGAAGAAAAACATCAATCAAGGTTAATGTAACATGACAAACAAGCTCCCATATCCAATGTTGGTAACACACATGATACACATGATACAGACGTGACAACGAGACACGGCTACAACACAGACGCTACACAAGAACTGGAGATCTTGTTATTGCTGGATTTGAAGACACTCAACTATTTCAAGTAATGTTTGTCCACCTGTATTTCAGCATGTTCAGATTAACATAATCATAAACCTCTAAATCAGATATTTGTTTGATAAAACCTGTGTTTTCATGGACATCTTTAATTAATTTGATGCATTCTCTCATTGCATTTTCTGTGTTTAGTTAGTGAGAAAACGATCATGACATTGACATAAACAGTCATAAAACCCCAACAACAAAAAATTACACATTAATGACAACATAAAAACAAAAAATAAAAAAGCTCATGTTTAGGTTGCATGCTAGGAAACAGTGCAGACAAACGGTGATAGAGTTATTTCCCTTTCCATACTTACGCCCTTTACATTTGATACGGTCTGGGGCAGAGGGTTTGTGGTGGGCGAAGCACACACTATTACTGGCTTTGATACCCGCCACAGACAAAAAGTAGTTCATCCTAAAATGGGAGGTAGGTTGGTGCAAAAATAGCAATTCTTACTTTTATATATGAAATACATATGCAGGTTTTATTACCTTCCAGGTGAGTGTACCACATTGCAACATAGACCGATGCAGTGAACAGGATCATGTCAAATTATTATTGTCTGGGTGGCTACAATCTTCCATGCCAAAAATGAGAAGATTTAAGAACGACAGCCATGACTTCATGTGAACTGCTTGTAATGCATGCCACTGAAAACACAACTTGAACAAAAACATCTCAAATCTAACACCACTGCACTGTAAGATCTTAGTGCCACAGTCTATCACAAGTCTACACTAAAGTATGGGAGCTTCGAGAGTCTAACATCATATTATGAAATGGGATCAGAGACAAATATACTTGTGAATACTTACCATACACGATAATGATACATTGAAATTTCACAAGTAGAACTCCAGCAACTGGTTATATCACTAAACATGCTGACGACATTAGACAAACTTATATCATCCTGAAGAATCCTTCCCGAGGCAAGTGAGCTAACTGACAATAAGCTGAATTTCTGATTGATATTTTAGGATGGACAAAGGAATCGAAGCATAGTCCAATCAAAATCCCATTATGATATCAACATCAAGATCGTAAACTGTCGTGCTGATTTCGGTCGATTGAAGAATTTGCAAAGGATGTGTACCACCAACTTAGCGTCAACAGACATATTCTTTTCATGGGTTTTATCAAGGTGCTCACTTGATTTGATGCAAGTAAGACCCATCGTATTACTATATAGACCTTGATTATCGATCAGACCATCTTCACTGGGCGCCACTATTTCGTTTGAAGCAAATGCAGGTGGAATCTGATGGGTCAATAGGAGGGACATAGAAGGGACATAACTCATAACTGCCACTGGTGGCGCTCCGATTGAACCTAGAAATTCCGGCCAAGTTTGGCAAGGGTGGAAACTGGAGGTTTACAGTCAGTTAACTCCCTTGCCTCGGGAAGATGGAAGAATCCTTCTCTATGCTAATCCCATTTGTGTTTGCTTTTACAGATGAGCCTGACATGTCTACATCTAACACCTCACAACATATTTACTGGGCCTACTTCCACAAATCTTGTAACTCATAGCTACACTTGTATCTTCCATACCTTAACTGACTTACATTTGTCATAGCTACACTTGTAACACCCATACCTTAACTGACTTACATTTGTCATAGCTACACTTGGAACTCCAATACCTTAACTGACTTACATTTGTCATAGCTACACTTTTAACACCCATACCTTAACTGACTTACATTTGTCATAGCTACACTTGTAACTCCCATACCTTAACTGACTTACATTTGTCATAGCTACACTTGTAGCTCCCATACCTTAACTGACTTACATTTGTCATAGCTACACTTGTAACTCCCATACCTTAACTGACTTACATTTGTCATAGCTACACTTGTATCTTCCATACCTTAACTGACTTACATTTGTCATAGCTACACTTGTAACACCCATACCTTAACTGACTTACATTTGTCATAGCTACACTGGTATCTTCCATACCTTAACTGACTTACATTTGTCATAGCTACAATTGTAACTCCCATACCTTAACTGACTTACATTTGTCATAGCAACACTGGTATCTTCCATACCTTAACTGACTTACATTTGTCATAGCTACACTGGTAACTTCCATACCTTAACTGACTTACATTTGTCATAGCTACACTTGGAACTCCAATACCTTAACTGACTAACATTTGTCATCATGGTCATAGCTAAACTTGTAACTCCCATACCTTAACTGACTTACATTTGTCATAGCAACACTTGAAACTTACATACCTTAACTGACTTACATTTGTCATAGCTACACTTGAAACTTACATACCTTAACTGACTTACATTTGTCATAGCTACACTTGTATCTTCCATACCTTAACTGACTTACATTTATCATAGCTACACTAGTAACTTCCATACCTTAACTAACACTTGTCATAGCTACACTTGTAACTCCAATACCTTAACTGACTTACATTTGTCTTAGCTACACTTGTAACTCCAATACCTTAACTGACTTACATTTGTCATAGCTACACTTGTAACTCCAATACCTTAACTGACTTACACTTGTCATAGCTACACTTGTAACTCCAATACCTTAACTGACTTACATTTGTCATAGCTACACTTGTAACTCCAATACCTTAACTGACTTACACTTGTCATAGCTACACTTGTAACTCCAATACCTTAACTGACTTACATTTGTCATAGCTACACTTGTAACTCCAATACCTTAACTGACTTACATTTGTCATAGCTACACTTGTAACTCCCATACCTTAACTGACTTACATTTGTCATAGCTACACTTGGAACTCCAATACCTTAACTGACTTACAATTGTCATAGCTACACTTGTAGCTCCCATACCTTAACTGACTTACATTTGTCATAGCTACACTTGTAGCTCCCATACCTTAACTTACTTACATTTGTCATAGCTACACTTGTAGCTCCCATACCTTAACTGACTTACATTTGTCATAGCTACACTTGTAGCTCCCATACTTCAACTTACTTACATCTGTCATAGATACACTTGTAACTTCCATACCTTAACTGACTTACATTTGTCAGAGCTACACTTGTAACACCCATACCTTAACTGACTTACATTTATCATAGCTACACTTGTAACTCCCATACCTTAACCTATACTTAAGATACTGTGCTACAACTGCTACAAGGTGGCTGCATATGAGGGTGTCTCCATTATCACATTACACTGCTTGGTGCTTACCATGTGTCTAGTTCCTTGTCGTGGTTGGCCTCATCAGGGTTAAAGACAAACATGACCCCAATGGCATCTCGCGCCATGGATGGCCAGCAGGACTCGAACCTGCAATGTTGTATTTCACTTTACAGAAATTACACAAGATTTCAGAAATACTAAAACATCTACTGAAACGATTTCATTGCATATCATGGCTATGAATTAAAGCCCAGGCAATTGATGGATAGTTTTATTTAATTTATTTTAGACCTCATTTTCATGGTAGAAAAATAAACACATATATAACACAAAACAGCCAAACCATTGATTATTCTAAAGAGGTCGCTTGAGACAGATTATTTTATCTGTCAGCATTTAAAAAAGGCTATAGGCCAGTCCAGAAACCCCACTTTCTGTATAATTTCTGATGAGAAAAGTCAAGGATCCTAATCTTTTCTTAAGATTATCTAAGCAGAAAAGAAAATCCTCTACAAGGATGTTATGGGTATTGTTTAAAAATATTTACACTGGTTTCATCAAAAGGCCTTAGAGTCATCGTCCCATTGCACTAAGCATGCTAAGGTCGAAACGCTTTTGCAATGGAGTTGCACATTAGCCTTCATTATAGAAATAGAATAGTCTCCCTTTGTCTCATAGCTTCTCTTGGCATTTGGTATTCATCAATTAGATCGCCATCAAATAACGTGTCCAGTTGCAAAATCTGATCCCAAAATATGACATTTGAGAATGGTTTCTAGTTGTCTTCAATCAACATTAGGTGAAAGTATTGTGTGAGTCTAGGGGAATCGGGTGAATGGAGTGTTCTCATCCAAACTCGTAATTTGAGTCGAAGTTTGTTAACCTTGATTTCCCTTGTTCTGATACATGTTTAAATAATGCCTGATGTGTCATCAGAGAAACGTACTTTCTATCTCCACTGCAATCCCACAACTCCACTTCTACTGGTTTGGGTCGACTTCCACCTCCAATGGCATTGCCTTCAAATTCTAGAATCCTGGAAAAATATAGTGGTAACAATATACATTTCTAATGCAAAGTTTCACACACGTCTGGAATCAATTGTTTCCATCTGATATGAAGTATTCAGTATAAACAATCAACTAGTGCTTCAGAGTACCAGATCATTATTTTCCACATAAGACATTTAGCCAACAGTTGATCTGTGGAAGGCCCATCTGGTTATAAGCTAGAGATGGGAAACAGTCAGATGCTAGAGTTCTGCCTACCGGACTCCTTGTGTTGGGTGATACTCGCCACCGGATGTTTCTGTAGCATCGGCCAAAAAGTTGGACAACACAGTCTTCCCACTCTGAAAAATATGAAATTAGTAAACCTGTGTATGTGTACATGTGATCCCTGAGACAGCATACCTATGTACTGCACTGTCTTAGCCCCATGTACACTTATGACCAGTACACTTACTCTGCTCAGGCAAATTGCCAGCGATAATATAGAACTGCCCACTTTGTGTACCGAATTTGGTAAAGAAAATCAGCATCGATCAATCCTAATTGATGTGTCATAAAAGTAGTCCGTTATGAAATAACTACCGTGATAATATAGCGTAGCATGCTACACAGAAATGCTTAGTTTCATACATCAAACCAAATAACAATGTCAATAACCAGTCTGAAAACTGGATAGACCCGTGAAGATTCCGGGGTAGAATAGGTCTTCAGCAACCCATGCTTGCCGTAAAAAGGTGACTATGCTTGTCGTAAGAGGCGACTAACGGGATCGGGTGGTCAGACTTGCTGACTTGGTTGATGCATGTCATTGATCCCAATTGCGTGGATGGATGCTCATGATATTAATCACTGGATTGTCTGGTCCAGACTCGATTATTAACAGACCGCCGTCATATAGCTGGAATATTGCTGAGTACAGCGTTAAACAACAAACCAACCAACTGAAACTGGATACAAAGTTGTTCTGCTTGGTACCCCTTATAGCCAAGAGCTGCGATGAGATCAGACTGTCAAGGCTTGTGAGGCAATTTCACCATGCTCACACACTAAGCTAGTTCATGTGGTTTAATTGGACAAGATTATATATGAAACTGTCAGACGAATGAATCTGTCTATAAAGTGGTCACTATAGCCATACGCAAAATAAAAAATCATTTTCAGTCTGGTATTTCGGCCAAATAGAACAAAAACACGTAGAATCTATTAAATTTTTATCTATATGTCTAAAATATGAGAGACACAACAAATAATAAGGAGGGAATTTATGGATGTCAACTTCTTTATCATGAGATTGAGAACACAACGTGTCGGAGTGTATACTTACTCCTTCATCAGGTGAAAGTCGTAAGTATATACTCCATAAGTTGTATTCCTCATAATAAAGAAGGTGACATCCATAAATTCTCTTCCTTATGTGTATCGCTTCTAAATTCCTTTCAATGACTTGATACAACAAATAATGTCTACCGGTAGATATACTCGACCATACAGCTTCAATTCCGTAAATTAACAAAGCTGAGTTGGAAAATTTATTGAAGCCATACTGACAACATCCTACATTTGGCCCCAGCTACCAAGTTTGTACCTCACATGGTCCAAGAACGAGAATCTTAGCCTTTTGCATTGTTAATCTGTCCAAACGTGCAGACTGTAACTTCTGTACTGCTGTTTGTTTGGAATGTCCACTGCTGTCGTCTGGTCGAAGGGGGATAACTCTCCAAACACGCACAAGTTGCATACCACTAATCAATTGTCGACAGAATTTTTCTCTTGCCTGCGAAATGTATATTTTTGTTCAATGGGCTAAGGCAAGATTTGTGGATTGTTTGTTTGTTGTTAACGCCGCACTCAGCAATATTCCAGCTATATAACGGCGGTCTGAAAATAATCGAGTCTGGACCAGACAAACCAGTGGTTGACATCATGGGCAGTGCACTAATGGACCAGACAATCCCGTGAGTGACATCATGAGCATCGATCTACGCAGTAAGATGTAAAGATGTAAAGAGAGATGGAGACCAATAATGCAACACATTATAACCACAGGATGTCATTCTTTAGGCGTGCTTTGAGTAGTTGCTCAGATTCCCAAATGTTTTTAGGGTTTCAAATGTTTGCAGAGGAATGGGATCTTAGGATTTCCTTTTAGCTGCTTTTAGTAAATCACATTTAAAACTTGTGAGCAGAATCTGAATGCAGTGGGTGAATATTCCTAAGTTTAAGTGATTTTTTACTATAATACTACTCATATCACCATGACTAGAAATCATCATAAGCCCTAGCGGGCAGTGTTAGACAGCCGGGAAGAAGCCAGAGATTATTGCCTCTTTAAGATGACCCGCCGTATTATAACTGGAATACCGTTCAAAGCGCAGTTAAACCCAACTCACTCACTCAGGAAGCTGCCAAAAATTACACTATTAAAGTAAAATGATGTGACACTTTTATCAACTGCTCTGTGATAGTCGACATAAGTGGAACAAAACGAATGGTTGAAATACTAACCTACCACACGGGAGGTGTTTGGTGTGTTTTAACAAATATCGAAATGGATATCGAGACTGTAAACATGTTAAGCACTTTGCGTCCTAAAATATTAGTCAAACTAAAATAGATTATTTTTCAAGACAATGGGATGTCCTCAGATCTTAACGGTAGCGAGAACTAAGATCTGATTTTAATGAGATTGAGACTCGATTACTTACAGACCGCCGTCATATAGCTGGAATATTGCTGCGTGCGGAGTTAAACAACAAACAAACAAACCATTGCTGAGGCGAGATCGACGTGTCGTGTGAAATGTTCAGGTCCGAGCTCTCCTGAGATCAAGTGAGACAACCTTTCTTCCTGGATGACAATATAATCTTTATACTTCTTCTGAGTAAAGTTTCGTCCAAATGCACAGATATCTATATTCGTAGATCGAAGTAAAATCCGAGCTCGAGTAATATGTGTTCTCTCTCTCCAAGGGAGATAACCGGGAACCGGATGATCTGTATTTCTATGATGCCAGTTGGTTATTACGAAAATATGAAGAACATTTAGAAATTGCAAGTTTCTCGAACATAATTTGAGAATGATCTTAGTGACGTATCTGTGCCAAAACTGATGTCCGATCCCATTCCCCATTTTGAATTGGACCATATGTTCCCGTGATTTGTTTAGTGAACACTTGTCTTGCCTTTGCATGTGTTTGTGAAGCATGAGACATGATGCGCTCACTTTTTCGCGAACACCTAGTATCATGACTGTTTTTATAGTGATTCAAAGATAGAGATTATGATCATGATTATGGAAATGGGTTTGTCGCTTTTGTCTTTCATTGGAACGACGTCATATATATCCAAGGAAGAACGTAAGACACGGTGTACGGTGAAACACAGTCCCTGAGACTTCGTGTCCTTTATGCCTCAGTCACATTTGCCGCGGCGGCCGTGGGGTCTAAAATATCTACGGCCAATAGCAAGTATAGGGCCGCCGCAGCATTCCCACGGTCACATACGGAAGCAGTCACATATGTTAGGGAAGAAGCACGGCGTCCCTGCGGCGGCCGTAGGTTTTTGACAAATACCAAGACAGACTCAAGGTAGACGCAAGGCGGCCGTAGGGGGACCATACGGCGACCGTGCGGCCAGACTGACGCTACCGCTACACGGCAGCCGCACGGCAATCGCAAGGCCACCGTACGCCCGACGTATGGTCGCCGTGGAACCGCACTATACGGCATGGCTACGGTGTGTCTAATTGTCTGATTGCTACGGCGAACCTACATAGAAATTAAAAACACCACGCTACAATCCCACGGCGACCCCTACGGTCTGTAAAGATAGGGATACGCCCTAGGGGGACCATGAGGCCACCACACATCCTCTGCGGCCGCCGCAGGTGTCTCTCGATTTCGGGGGGCTACGGCCGCCGTATCCTAGCCGTAGAGCAAATGTGACTGAGGCATTAAGGGCATTGTACCCACGTGAGGAATGGAACCCGGGTCTTCGGCGTGACGAGCGAACGCTTTAACCACTGGGCTACCCCACTGCCCCCTCAACAACAAGAAGGAGTGACAGTCTGGACATGATGTACAGACCATTAATCACATTGTGTGTACTACTTTGTTTCTGGTCTGTCGTTCATACTCTGTTTCAACCCTGTTCACTGCATTAGATTACATATCACATGTTACTATCAAATCTTTGGGAACGCTTTAACGGTTTGGCTTCTAAATTGTGTAATTTTACCAAATGCCAACATTTTTCCTTTTTTTGTTATTTGACCAATTGTCAACATGTTATAGGTCTAACAGACTGAGTATGGTTTCACACATTGTACCCATGTCGGGAATCGAACCCGGGTTTTCGGCGTGACGAGCTAAAGCTTTAACCACTAGGCTACCCGACCGCCCCACGTCTAACAGAGACATGGCATGATAACTATTTAGTGGAGAACAATTTTCCTGAATATGTGTGTGTTTAGTGTATCGGCAGGTAGAACTCTACAGCAAGGGAAGACTGTCAGGGAATGTACTTGTTCAATAGAAAACCATTCAGTAGTATGTAAAGATGTCTATCAAACTGAAAGAGAAAGCTCTGGTAACATTGCCAGATAAATCACCGTTTCAGATTGAGGATATTTAATGGCCTGCGTCTATATTCTCCCAAAGATTTCATCCTGGTATAAAAATAGTCATCTTAGTGTGGTATACGTCACTTACAGGATGTGTCACTCGACATTCCTCAGGAACCAAGCGACGTCACTATACTACGTGGCGGTGACTGACCCTGATAATATGAGGATGATATATCACAATATGTTCATCTTGATCATTGTCAATATAACGACGGCACTCTAAAACTAAAATGTTTCACCCTGGACAATTATTATTATCAAGGATGGTAATTTTCTGGTTCCTTAAAATAAAAAAAATATGAACTTAGATGTGGGTCAAATGCCATCTTCCCGAGGCAAGGGAGTTAACTGACTATAAAAATCCATTTTCCACCCTTGCAAAACTAGGCTGCAGTTATGGAGTTATGTTTTGACTGGACTAACGAGTCTATGCATAGTCCAATCAAAATCGCGTAACGAAATCAACATCCGGTTCGAAAACTGCCTTGCAGATATCGGTCGATTACAGGTTTTGCAAAGCATGTGTACTGTCAACTTAGAGTCAACAAATATTTTCCATATCTGTTCATGTTTTTAATCAAGGTGCTCACGTGGTTTCATGCACTTTGCGAAGTAAGGCCCGTTTTATTACAATATAAATCTTCATTATCGATCGGACCGTCTGGACTGGGCGCTGCCATTTTGTTTGAACCAAATGCAAGTGATGTGAGAGGTGGAATCTAATTGGTCAACAGGAGGGACATACAAGGGACATAACTCGTTATAGCTACTGGTGGCGCTACGATCGAACCCAGAAATTCCGGCCTAATTCGGCAAGGGTGGAAACTGGACTTTTATAGTCAGTTACTTCCCTTGCCTCGGGAAGATGGTCAAATGCAGGCATGGTGACTTTACATTTGTTACAACTGTAAACGACTACACTCACGTGCAAAAGAAACGTCCCCAAAGTTAGAATTATATTATAATTGTTGAATATAGTCAAAAACATGAAACACAGTTCGGAACACATTGCCCAAACACACCAATGCATGGTATCTCAAGGAAATTCACGTGCTGCATGTCAGAAGCGGGTAAAAATGACTTTATTCAGTGAAATTCCCTGCACGTGCAAGAAATCACCCGTATGAAGATCGGTTATAAAACCCGTTGGAAACTGTTCTTTGCAATCATCAGCGTCTGAAAAACCCACAGAACATGCCTAGATTGCCTGGGGAGCAGAGACAAAGAGCGATTGGAATGTTGGAGATGGGGGCAACTCACGACCATGTTGCAAGAATCATGGGCTGCGCAAAAAGAACGATTGGCAGACTAGTCACACGTTACAGACAAACTGGCAGGACAGCAGACAGGCCAAGGAGCGGTCGACCATAAGTCACTACGCCACAAGAAGACCGTTATCTACGTACGCTTCATTTGAGGAACAGATTCCTCACTGTGACGTCATCATCAGCGCATAGCCTTGGTCATCGTGTCAGCAGGTGGGCAGTCTCGAGACGACTCCGTGAGTGAGGAATCAGAGCCTACAGACCGTTCAAGGGCATGACGTTAACGCTGGAATATCGACGTCGAAGACTGGCATGGGCAAGACGTGTTCGTCAGTGGCAGCAACGAAACTGGCAAAGAGTCCTTTTCAGCGACGAGACTAGGTTCCAGTTGAACAGAGCTGACGGCCGAAGACGTGTCTACCGCCGGAGTGGGGAACGGACGGCACGTTGTTGCGTTCAGGAACATGTGGTGGAGGGAGTGTGATGGTTTGGGGAGGCATTTGTGGGAACACCAAGACCGACCTCATTATCATCGATGGCAACCTGACAGCCCGTCGGTATATTGATAAAGTTCTGCAGCCCCATGTCCTGCCTTTCCTCCAGCAAAATCCAGGAACCTTGTTTCAGCAAGACAATGCCACACCACACACCGGTCTTTCTCAACGCCACAAACGTGCCCGTCCTGCCTTGGCCACCAAGATCCCCAGACATGTCTCCGATAGAACACTTGTGGGACCATCTTGGACGTCGGATTCGACAACTGCCCCACCCTCCGTTGACGAGAAATGCACTGGCTTAGGCACTGCAGAGAGAATGGCGTCAGATACCCAATCACGTGATCAGAAGACTTACACACTCGGCCCGACGACGTGTTCTGGCATGTATCGACGCTAAGGGTGGACATAAGCGGTATTGGCAGTCTGCATTCCAATTTCAACCTCTGTGCCGCTTTGGCTTGTGCTCGAATACTGGACAATCGACCCCCTTGTGAATACATTGACTATACACCTGTTCCATTTAACATGTTCTTTTTACATCTGTCACGCATGCTTTACATACCTTTTTTGTTATTCATATACAACGTCATTATCTATTCGTGTTTGTGTTTGTGTTGTTTGTTAGTTGAAAAATGTTTGGAGACGTTTCTTTTGCACGTGAGTTTATATGTTAAAGGCATGTAGTCAGTTACATCAAGTATTCCTTTGACATTATGTCAGGACTTCGATACCACAGATTCAGGCCAGAAACATTTACTGTTATGATGTACATTTCCATGTCGTGCAGTGAACAGGATGTAGCACGTGACACGCAGAGGGAAGCGGACAACACAAACTTCACATGGGACACCGACAAAGCAGAAGTGTTCCGAGAAAACTTGCTCACGCCCGATATACGCTGGTTTTCTAATAAAATGTATTGTCCGAAATACATCATGCTGTTCTAGTGATGACAGATGAACATGTAAGGCAGCAAAATGTATGAAACATAAATGTTTATCCTATGACCACATTTCTCAGCCATGGTATGATAAGGAATGCGTCTTTCCAAGGTGTGAGTGAGTGAGTGAGTGAGTATGGTTTTACGCCGCTTTTAGCAATATTCCAGCAATATCATGGCAGGGGACACCAGAAATGGGCTTCACACTTGTACCCATTTTGGGAATCGAACCCGGGTTTTTGGCTTGACGTGCGAACGCTTTAACCTCTAGGCTACCCGACCGCCCCTTCCAAGGTGTGAGAAGTGTTACAGATGGCAAATGTCCGTATATCTCTACAGGTTTATTTAAATGCCGGAAATGAATATAATAATACTATTCGGTTGAGAAGAGGATCTGCTATGAATCTGTTAAAGATAATTCAGTGAGTACAGTAAACTACGGTTATAACGAACTCAAAGGGATCACTAATATTAATTCGTTACAAACGTAGTTCGTTATAAGCATATATACAGCAAATGGACGGGACCCCCAAACAGTTCGTTATATCCGTCAGTTCGTTATGAGGGAGTTCGTAATAAACGTAGTTTACTGTAATCTGAATAATTCAAAACAATTTTTGCGTTTACTGTCCAAAGTTTCCTTAACTGAGAGATCTAATCCGATAATATCTATGGAAAGTTGGCTCAAACATTTTAAAGAGGTATTTCAAGATTCAGGCAGTAAACTTGTTGACCTTGATGCTGATTGCCAGAATGTGGATGACATTTTAGACCAAACAAGAAGTCGAAAAATTGACTCTCCTAATATAAGAGATGAAACATTACCAGCCATTACAGATTTAAAAATCATCTAAAAGTGCCGGACTTGACATTATTGCATAGTTCTTTCAAAATTCACAATACGTTTGGGTTCCTTGTATTGAGCTTTTGTTTGAGAGTTACCGTATTGCAACGAGGCAAGAGAGTTAACTGACTATAAAAGTCCAGTTTCCACCCTTGCCGAACTAGGCTGGTATTATGGAGTTATAGTTTGGCTGGACCAACGAGTCTATGCATAGTCCAAACAAAATTGCACAACGAAATCGAAATCCGGTTCGTAAACTGTCGTGCAGATTTCGGTCGATTGCATGATTTGCAAAGCATGTGCACCACCAACTCGTTGTCAACTGATATTTTCAAAATATTTTCATGTTTTTAATGAAGGTGCTCGCGTGATTTGATTGACTTCGGGATGTAAGACCCGTTTTATCACAATATAGATATTGATTATCGATCAGATCGTCTTGACTCGGCGCCGCCATTTTGTTTGAAGTAAAGGCAAGTGATCTGAGAGGTGGAATCTGATTGGTCCATAGGAGGGGAATAGAAGGGATATAATTCGTAATAGCCACTGGTGGCACTACGATCGAGCCCAGGAATTCCAGCCTAGTTCGGCAACTTGACTTTTATGGTCAGTTAACTCCCTTTGCCTCGGGAAGATATGTGCAACGACAAGTTCCAACGACTTCCTCTTCAACAATCAAACATTACTATGTATCACTTGTTTGATAGGCATTACTTAGAAGTTGAGAGAGAGAGAGAGAGAGAGAGAGAGAGAGAGAGAGAGAGAGAGAGAGAGAGAGAGAGAGAGCATACCCGTGCTCGTGGGTTTCATCAAAGTGGTAAACGTCTGAGAACTGCATCACTTAGGGGTTTCCTCCCACATTAAGCAGACACGCCGTGATATTACGAGAATAAAACCCAACTCACTCACTTCTCCCTAGTCGATATCGGTAGTGTTACTTCGACAAATATTCTGCCACACATACTTGTAGTGTATTGCAGTAACCGCAACAATATTTGTACACAATATTGTGGTTGGTAATATTAGGACTGGGAAGGGTAACACGGGTACTCGGGACGGGTGGGTACTGAGTAGGACCCGGGTACCCACAGAACTACCCGGACCCATGGTTAATCACGTGATTATATTATTTAATGGCAAAAATTATCTAAAACTCTATGGTTACACTATAAGTGACAAATGTTCACATTTCTTTCTGACTATGCACACATTCCTTCTGACTTTATATGTTTGCATAAAGATAAAACTTCAATCAACTTCAGTGTATGCATAACCAGATAATTTTATACCTGTTTTGACAGGAGTACGGTCAAACGTTTCCCAATCGGATATTTTGTACCTATCTCTTGATACCTACAGCGGGTACCCGAGTAGGGTCGGGTAATAGGGGTGGGTGGGTCGGGGTGGGGTGGGGGTTGGGGTGGGGGTGGGGGGGCAGGGGGGGGGGGTATCCGGGTAGGGTCGGGTAATAGGGGGATGGGTACCCGGGTAGAGTCGGGTAATAGGGGGGGGGGGGGGGGGGGGGTACCCGGGTAGTAAATTTGGACTCGTCCGAGCCCTGGTTCGTATCATTAGCAAACAACTCTCGCTGTTCTTGCAGTAAGATGAAACACTTTCAAGCCACGTACATCATACTGTAGCACTGGAACCAAGAACACACGTTTAATTAACATAAATACTGTTCAGAGCAGAATGTAACCCATCCCCTCGCTTGCTATTATATCAACATGCCTAAGTACATGAAAGAAATTAGTCCCTTCGTGGTAATATCATTCACATTTATACATTTCTGTACTTCCTGCTCAGTTAGTCATTGTAATGATTGTCAACGGCAGTTAAGCGTGGTTTCGTTTCTAATTTTATACCAGGAAGGAATTTGAAAGTCAGACAATTTCCTGTCACTTTTCTCCGTTGGGTCATCGACGGCCGCTACTCATATCGACACATACACTCGGTCGTCAGCATGGACGGGGACAAATACCATGAATGCAACGAGGTGTGGGATTCACCAAGGAGGTCTTTAAGTAGAAATGAAGTCCGCGGTGTGAAACTTGTAACAGTGATCGCAGCACTCGTGCTAGTCTTCATCATTGTCTGTGTCGCAGTTGTATGTGTCGTGGTCAGTAAACTGGGGCGAAACCATCACAAGATTTCATTTTCCGTGAGTGTTCTTGTCGAATGTGTGGCTGTTGTTGGCGTTAAATCTATATACAGCAGACTACGGTTAAAACGAACACGCTTATAACGAACTGACGGATATAACGAACTTACTTTTTGGTCCCGACTATTTGCTGTAGTTATGCTGCATATATGCTTTTAACGAACAACGGTTATAACGAACTAAACTTAGTAGTCCCTTTGAGTTCGTTATAACCGTAGTTTACTGTAAAAGATTTCAAAGAGCGTCATACGACTCTTGCACAAAAGTTGTGTGATCAAGGTAACAACATTCAAGGCCTCAGTAAAGCGTTCAAAACGTTTTATGGTGGACATGAGGAAGACATTTCTAAATTTAACGAATCAGTGAAAAAATTGATGTCCGATGCTATTCCCAATTTTGATTTGTTCCATATGTTCCCGTGATATTTTCAGGTGAACACTTGACTTGCCTTTACATGTGTTTGTGGCGGGTACCATCGGTAGGGCAGGATACGCTCACCTTTTCGCGAAAACCTGATATCGTCACTGTTTGATAGTAATTCATAAACACATGGTCATGATATAGTCGTAATTTACAATCGACTCTGCTTTTGGCAGAGATTTCTTCTGAATATGGAAAGGGTTTCGTTGCTTTTATTCATGAAAACGGAAAGGGTATTGTCGCATTTTTTTCAATAAGGTATAAATAAAGAGCATTATGATAATAAAAATTTAAGTCATGAAATAATAACTGTCAGCGTTATTGTACGAATGTTATTGCTTTCCATTTAATACTATTTGAAGAAGTGCGACAGCAGCGGTAACACAGAAATACTACCCAGTATTATTAATTATATTATAATATTATTTTAAATATTTCAGAACGGTAGTTAATTATTAAAGTTGTGTCTTATTTTCAGATGAAAAACGCTGTTTATGATAAGAGGGGAGCTGAAGATGAAGGTACGGTGTTTAAATATATGAACCCAATTGTGTTATATGTTATCATTATTACGATCAAGGAAAAGATACAAAATATAATTCATATCGTTGGGTGTTTCGTTTACATTGTCGATCGTGGGTTATCGTAACCGTGGATCGTTACTCGTGTAAATAACTCCTGGGCCCACTTGGACAAAGCGGTCTTAGCCCTAAGACTATTGTAAGCCTATGCTGAAGTATGGGAGTTACGATCATCTTAGCGCTAAGATTGCTTTGTGCAAGTGGGCCCTGGTTTCTGGTCAAACAGGACATAGTCTATAGGTGTTTAACGCAGCACTTAGCACTATAAGAAGGCAGCGGGAACTGTTTAGCTGGAATCGATGAACACCATATTCCAACATGATATCTGACAACTAATATTACCGATAACACCATCGACAACAATAATAAACAGTGGATGCCCAGCTTTGACACAAACACAGTATCTTGATGGTGTGGCTTAATGTTTTTATTACAGTCTTCGCCATGAATGTGGTTTTTACCACAGGGGCTTGTAACGCAAAACACAGCAGCTACAATATATATGGTCACACCCAGTGTCAGTATACTAAATAAAAGGATGTAACTATCTAAGTTTGTTCGTTGACGAATTCAGCAATGTCCACAGTAAATACCTCTATAAAACCGGACCGCCTCCGTGGTCTAGTGGTAGAACGTCCGCCCGGAGAGCGGAAGGTCCGGGGTTCGATCCCCGGCCGCGTCATACCAAAAGACGTCAAAAGAATGTATTTGTTGTTACCCTGTCTGGCGCTCGGCATTAAGGGGCTAAAACAAGGACTCGGCTCGGAGTCAGTATACTGTGTCTGAGTGGGGTATTCATGTTAAACTGCGGCATGGTATCTCAGTGAGCTAGCACTATAAATCGGCATCAGTCCGGACTAGTACAAACAAACACACACACACGTACATGCACGTCGCTATATAAGTGCAATAATCTTGGACCCGACGTTAAACCCCATTTCACCTCACCTCACCTCTATGAAACCATACACTTATTTCAAGCCAAGCCATTTAGCTACACAATTCGTCATAGATGACGAAAATCGAAGGCGTACTTTTGGAGCGAGAACTGACACTGGGTTTAAACATATATCTTGTATCTGCTAGTTTTTGCGTTACAAGCCCCTGTGGTTTTGACACAGAGGTCCATCCATGGTACGACCCAGAATATGTAGAGGGCATCATGGAAAATGGTAAATACAAACTTCTTTGGAATAGGCCCATACACAGCCTAAGACCTATCAAGGCCAACAAACCTTATCTTGTCCGTTTTGATTAATCCGATGAAACCATTAACTTTATTGAGTTTTGTCCCTTTTGACACTAATGTGATTGACAAAATCAGGAAAAACATGGCAAATATGCGGACCTCGCTTTCTAAATGTCACGCTTGCATCCCAAGTACCAAGTTGTCCGACTCCCCATTGTTCTCGGTGCCTTAGGTTTGGTACCTCCCAATTTGTTGATTGACACTGGGAGAGTACCCGGGTTTGCTTCCAGGAATACGGCCCTTCTGACAATCTGGGTAATGCAGAAGCCTGCAGTGTTGGGGAGTCTTCACATTCTCCGAAAAGTTCTGGGTGGGTTTGACTAGGCAGCGCTTCCTGGGAGAAGTCCCATTCGCTGTCTGGACTGCGTGTAGAGGGGGCAAGGACCCTGAGCTGATGATGAGCCTAACCAGCCTGACTGTGCCAGGATCACCCAAACCCTCTTTCCTTCATTTTTGCCAATTTTAATCTGTAAATAATAATAATAAATAGATACATATAAGTGACTAAGCCCTTTCAATATTCACTTTTTATGAGCATATGTTTAAGAATGACTATCAAATAGTAATTATATCAGGTGTTCGGGGATTTGTTAAATATATTTGGGTCAGTGGCGTTATTCAGATACATAAGATTAACCTTCACTCACTCACTCCTTCACTCACTCCTTCACTCACTCACTCCTTCACTCACTCACTCCTTCACTCACTCACTCCTTCACTCACTCCTTCACTCACTCCTTCACTCACTCACTCACTCACTCACTCACTCCTTCACTCTCCTTCACTCACTCACTCCCTCCTTCACTCCCTCCTTCACTCCTTCACTCACTCACTCCTTCACTCACTCACTCCTTCACTCACTCCTTCACTCACTCACTCACTCACTCACTAACTCCCTCCTTCACTCACTCACACCTTCAAGCACTTCAGATACATAAGATTAACCATGTACATGTAAAAATAGTGACTCATAAATATTCAACGGACAACAAACATAATATTTACATTTCTAGCTTCACAGTCAGAGATGAATTCCCATGGCAACAATCATATTTGTGGCCAAAGATATGAATGTTTAACCAACAGCCCCATGTAGTTGGTTTGATCATCGGAGATTAAGATGTTTCGTATTGTATTACAACGTTCACCGCCCGCCGACCCGACATTTCACAACCGGTCTGTTAACTAATTTAAGTAAGGGAATGAAATTCAAAGCAGGCAAACGTGGGAAGAAAGTTGCCCTTTGACTTGCCATAAAAACCTTTCATCTCTTTTTTCTCTTTTGCACCGGATGTGGTGGTGGTGGAATGGGGTTTAACGTCGCGTCCAAGATTATTGCACTTATATAGCGACGTGCATGTACGTGTGTGTTTGTGTGGCTGCTTGTACTAGTCCGGACTGATACCGATTTATAGTGCTAGCTCACTGAGATACCATGCCGCAGTTTAACATGAATACCCCACTCAGACACAGTATACTGACTCCGAGCCGACCAGTCCTTGTTTTAGCCCCTTAATGCCGAGCGCCAGACAGGGTAACAAAAAGTACCATCTTTTAACGTCTTTTGGTATGACGCGGCCGGGGATCGAACCCCGGACCTTCCGCTCTCCGGGCGGACGCTCTACCTCTAGACCACGGAGGCGGTCTGCACCGGATGTAGAAACGTTTCAAGAGATCCTTTTTGTGAGATAATTTTTATTCTTATTTTGACCAACGAACTTACTGTTTAGTTAGAGAAAATATCGATAGTTCTTACAAACCATAGAAATTCGCATATATCTAAAGATGTGCATATCTGACATATGGATGTGCATACCTATATATCACAGTCAATACATATTCCTCTCGCGCATGAATATGTGTCTTGGATATGCGATCACTAATCAATATATTTCCATGTAATAATTTTCTCTGTGGTAATTGTATACGAGTGGTACTTCACTCACTCCCTCCTTCCTTCACTCACTCACGCCCTCCTTCACTCACTCACTCCTTCTCTGTGGTAAATGCATACGGTCGTGCATATCTGACACATAGCAGTGAATAATTCTGCATATCCGATCACCACATTTAATATATCTTCCTATCGTACATGAATATGGTCGTTCCTATCTCCTCACATTACAGTAGAAACATCTCCACGTGGTGCATGAATGTGATCGCGCATATGTTCGGTTAACGTATGTTAATGTCCATGCATGGTATGCCCATGCCATCATTCCGTATTTGGGTATACCGGTGGCCCAGTTGTCTAAGGGGCCATATTTCTTTCTTTCACTCACTCCCTCCCTCCCTCCTTCACTCACTCCCTCCGTCACTCACTCCCTCCTTCACTCACCCACTCACTCCTTCACTCACACCTTCAATAACTCCCTCCTTCACTCACTCCCCCTTTCTCCCATTCACTCCCTTCTTCAATCACTCTCCCTCCTTCACTCACTCCCTCCTTCACTCACCCACCCACTCCTTCACTCACTCACTCACTCACTCACTCACTCACTCACTCACCCACCCACTCCTTCACTCACCCACCCACTCCTTCACTCACTCACTCACTCACTCACTCACCTTCAATAACTCTTTATCCTTCACTCACTCCCCCTTTCTCCCACTCACTCCCTTCTTCAATCACTCTCCCTCCTCCACTCACTCACTCCTTCCTTCACTCACTTCCTCGTATGTTTCCTTGTACAGCGCCAGATCGGATCATCATACAGAGGAGAACCACGGGGGACGTCAACTTCACCAGAACATGGAAAGAATACAGAAACGGCTTTGGTGATTTAGATGGAGATTTCTGGTTTGGAAATGAAAACATTCACAAGTTAACACGAAAAGGTATGATTATTAAGTCCAGCGCACTTTCTACTCATTACTTTCCAATTCCTGAATAAAGATCTAGCTTTAAACATGTCTGTGGCAATGATCGACCTTCCTACTGAAAAAATGCATGGAGGTCTTGAAAGACAACGGATATTATTAGTTTGTTTGTGTTGTTTTCACAACGCCGCACTCCGCAATATTCCAGCTACATTGCGGTCTGTAAATAATAGTTTGTACCAGACATTCCAGTGATTAACATCATGAGGATCGATTCACGAACTTGAGAGATGACGTCATGCTTTCCAACCAAGCCACGGAGCTTGACCACCCGATCCATTTAGTCGCCAACAAGCATGGGTTGCTGGGGACCGGTATTTTTACCCGATTTCCCACGGGATATTGATGTGCTAAGTTTAGTGTAAGCATATTTTATTCTCATAAAAGGATTGGGCGCAAGTTATCGCAACTTAGAACGCCCTCTCCCATGGATTTACATGTATGCTTATTTACAATTAAATAAATAACTGACCGAAAGGAAAGAAGAGACATAGAGAAACGTATGGGCATTAACATTGCTCACTCAAACCTTTTTGTTTTCTTTATATGTGTCTGTACATTCCTAAACATGTTTTCGTTCACATGATTAGGTAAACATGTATTGCTAGCATCAGGTCAATATTTACATCACAAGTATCTATCACAACTAACAATATTGTGTGCATCATTTAGTTTCTAGCTGTTTAAAAATTGACATTCAATGAAAAAATTATTTGAATTTTCACATGGGCTGCCACGTCGGTATTATGGATCCTCGTTTAAACCTTTTCTAAATAAGTCATTTTATAATTCACTTTCACCATGTCCTAATTTTGTATGTATTGTAATTTTCCTTAGACCATGTGAGAAATATAATGGAACTGGCGATCTATGTGTTCTTTAACGATTTAAATCAAGAGAAGGTTTCAATATTCCTTTGCTGACAAGGTAATGTATTCCACAAATAGAGGATGGTATAAACGAGGATTCAGATAACTTTGTACGTAATAAAGGCATAGTTATATTATGAGCACATTCACTCCGCTTCTTCTGCAGCTTAAATGATTCATGTCCTGGTCTAACAGCTATCACTTTTGTTCCCACACTTTTGGGAGTTTGCTAAGTACACATCGTCACGTCTGTGTTTACTCAACTCTTTCTGCAGCTTAAATGATTCATGTCCTGGTCTGACAGCTATCGCGTTTTGTTTCCCGACTTTTGGGAGTTTGCTAAGTACACATCGTCACGTCTGTGTTTACCCAACTCCTTCTGCAGCTTAAATGATTCATGTCCTCGTATGACAGCTATCGCGTTTTGTTCCCACACTTTTGGGAGTTTGCTAAGTACACATCGTCACGTCTGTGTTTACCCAACTCCTTCTGCAGGTTAAATGATTCATGTCCTCATATGACATCTATCGCGTTTTGTTCCCACACTTTTAGGAGTTTGCTAAGTACGCATCGTCACGTCTGTGTTTACCCAACTCCTTCTGCAGGTTAAATGATTCATGTCCTCATATGACATCTATCGCGTTTTGTTCCCACACTTTTAGGAGTTTGCTCAGTACGCATCGTCACGTCTGTGTTTACCCAACTCCTTCTGCAGCTTAAATGATTCATGTCCTCGTATGACAGCTATCGCGTTTTGTTCCCACACTTTTGGGAGTTTGCTAAGTACACATCGTCACGTCTGTGTTTACCCAACTCCTTCTGCAGGTTAAATGATTCATGTCCTCATATGACATCTATCGCGTTTTGTTCCCACACTTTTAGGAGTTTGCTAAGTACGCATCGTCACGTCTGTGTTTACCCAACTCCTTCTGCAGGTTAAATGATTCATGTCCTCATATGACATCTATCGCGTTTTGTTCCCACACTTTTAGGAGTTTGCTAAGTACGCATCGTCACGTCTGTGTTTACCCAACTCCTTCTGCAGGTTAAATGATTCATGTCCTCATATGACAGCTATCGCGTTTTGTTTCCCGACTTTTGGGAGTTTGCTAAGAACACATCGTCACAGCTGTGTTTACCCAACTCCTTCTGCAGCTTAAATGATTCATGTCCTCATATGACATCTATCGCGTTTTGTTCCCCGACTTTTGGGAGTTTGCTAAGTACACATCGTCAAGCCTGTATTTACGTAACTCCTTCTGCAGCTTAAATGATTCATGTCCTCATATGACATCTTTCGCGTTTCGCTCCCACACTTTTGGGAGTTTGCTAAGTACGCATCGTCACGTCTGTGTTTACGTAACTCCTTCTGCAGCTTAAATGATTCATGTCATATGACATCTATCACGTTTTGTTCCGCGACTTCTGGGAGCTTGCTAAGTACACATCGTCACGTCTGTGTTTACCCAACTCCTTCTGCAGCTTAAAAGATTCATGTCCTCATATGACATCTATCACGTTTTGTTCCGCGACTTTTGGTAGCTTGCTAAGAACACATCGTCACAGCTGTGTTTACTCTAACCCATCTGCAGCTTCACTGATACACGTCCTGAAGCTGTAACATGTTTTCATTGTAGGTTACACCCGGCTTCACATCGAGCTGACGACGTTTGACGATATCACATATAACATTGAATACGGTGACTTCCGTGTGCGACCAGAGGCCGAGCAATACCAGCTTATTGTGGCAAATTTCAAGCCAGGTCACCTTGCCCTGACGTTTGACTGTCTGATTTCCCACAACGGGAGCAGATTTACTACGATTGACAGGGACAATGACAGGGCGGAGGACAACTGTGCCTCGCTGTACTTTGGTGGCTGGTGGTACAACTCTTGTCAGCTGTGCAACTTGAATGGACTTTACAGGAGTAATGAGATCTACAAAAGAGGGAACATAATCTGGTGCGCGATAAACAGGTACAGGGGGATTAAACAGACACTGATGACGATACAGCAACATCCCTGATCTACTTCATCAACACAGAGGGGCGGTCGGGTAGCCTGGTGGTTAAAGCGTTCGCTCGTCACGCTGAAGACCCGGGTTCGATTCCCGACATGGGTACAATGTGTGAAGCCCATTTCTGGTGTCCCCCGCCGTGATATTGCTGGAATATTGCTGAAAGCGGCGTAAAACCGTACTCACTCACTCACTCACTGAAAGGTTTAAATAAGACAATATTTTGATAGAATAGACGGCTCTTTCATTGATCTTATGTTTTTCGCAATGAAAGAAACACATTCACATATCAACTGATATATATTGAAACAGAACTTAAAATCCGGACACAAAATCCAAGTAAAACTTGATCAAAGTTTTCTGTGAAATAAACAAATCATAATAATATTGTGTGTACTTATATTGTGCAAGACTCCACTCACAAAGTGCATGCTCAAAGCACTTATATTATTATCCCTGTAAAGGATTAGTCTGCACTCGATTATCATTCTCTACTCCCTGGGGAGTATACAACCCATGCTGCCTGTGAGGCGTTGGAAGGAAAACTGACACATTACCATCTCATCCCACCGGGGACCCATTCACTGCTGGTGAACAAAAGAACATTTAGAACATGGTCACTTGCCTAAGGAGACACCACATGTGCTACATGTGCTTCAGCCAGGGGAGGAAAGCACTAGAAACTCCCAGGAGTCAAGCTGCCGAACACAGTCGCCTTTCCAAAAATACTCCGCTAAACTTCGCCTGAATTGTGATCTGTGCGTTGTGCTAATGTACACATTGGGCAAATATATACACTATATGCAACATATATTCATCTGATAGACACGGTTTCGATGAGTGACTTTGTGAATGTTGTTTTACGCCATGGTCAACAACAGTCTTACAGTTACTCGAGTCTTGGTCCGTAAAACAAGTGATTGATAGCATGAGTGCCGACTTATCTGCACTATGAGCAAAGTTCCGGGTTGCGAAGACACGCAATCAACCATGTCACCTAGCCTGGCCATTTTATCTATTATCTAGGGGTAGTCGGGTATCCTAGTGGTTAAAGCGTTCGCTCGTCACGCCTAAGACCCGGGTTCAATTCCCGACATGGGTACAATGTGTGAAGCCCATTTCTGGTGTCCCCCGCCGTTATATTGCTGGAAAATTGCTAAAAGCGGCGTAAAAGCATACTCACTCACTCACTCACTATCTATTATCTCATTGTAGTCTCCGCCTATTGGACAAGCAACAGTGTTGGCGACACTAGCCAGGGTGGATAACCCCCCGATCAATATTTTAGGCAACAGACGTCATGCCGAAAGACACTAAAAGATGGTACTTTTTGTTACCCTGCCTGGCGCTCGGCATTAATGGGAAAAAACTCGGACTGGCCGCCTCGGAGTCAGTATACCGTGTCTGAGTGGGATACTCAAGTTGACCTGCGGCATGGTATCTCAGTGAGCTAGCACTATAAAATCGGTACAAGCAGCCACACACGCACGCACACAAACGCTACACGCCCACACCCACACCAACATGCACACGACCCATGAAAATCCGGGGTAGAATAGATCTTCAGCAACCCATGCTTGCCGTAAAACGCGACTATGCTTGTCGTAAAAGGAGACTAACGGGATCGGGTGGTCAGGATCGCTGACTTGGTTGATGCATGTCATCGATCCCACATTGCGAGGATCGATGCTCATAATATCAATTACTGGATTGTCTGGTCCAGATTCGATTATTTACAGACCGCCTTCATATAGCTGGAATATTGCTGAGTGCGGCGTTAAACAACAAACCAACCAACCAACATACACACACATATCCATATAAAAATGGGTAGGTTTCTCGGCAGAATAAAGCTAACGGATAAAAAGCTGTATCCTTTGGGGTCATATACAGATAATTATGCACACGACAAAAGGTCAGGTAGGTACTACTTTCAGTGTTTACAAATAAACATGGCGCCGTCCTTGTCAATCGTATCAGATTTAACATCGGGAATCTGGAGAAACTACTGAAATATATGTTATCGTTATCAAAACATTAGTCTTAGGTACCGGAAATCAGTGTCTAACTGGGGCAACGCTGGGGCATTTTACAAGTTTTGGCAACTTTGGAGATATACATTTCGAAACAATGTCGAGAGGACACCAGCCTAGCGGGATCAGTTTCCGTATCTGTGCTTGTAGACTGTAGACCTCTTCGGCTTGGGCCATTTTCTCCAATTTAAAACTGTTGGATTTGGCCGAAGTACATTTTACTCAGCTCTTCGTAAAGTTTTGACAGGACAGGCAGACACTACGTCTCATAGTCGAGGGTTAGCTCCCCTTTGATAAAGGCAGTTACTCTTGCGGGCGGACCGATGGATTGCATATTGCATGTTGTCACTGTCCGACTGACAAATCACTCACCTTCTGACGTAATATATATCAATGCTCATATTCAAGGAAAAAATGTTTAGGTAACGTTTGTGAGAGATGGGAAGAGATTATACATTATATGATAAAGATGGTACGGCGCTTGTGTGTTTAAAGATGGTAAATATCCTGAAAATATATATACACACACTCACACACACACACACACACACACACACACACACACACACACACACACACACACACACACACATATATCTATATCTATATATATATACCCATGATATACAGAGAGAGAGAGAGAGAGAGAGAGAGAGAGAGAGAGAGAGAGAGAGAGAGAGAGAGAGAAGAGAGAGAGAGAGAGCGCATACCCGTGCTCGTGGGTTTTACCGAAGTACTTATCATATATGTGTATTGACTCACTCAACACCCCCAGACAGACCACAACGATAACGTCCGCACAAAACAATTTGGAAAACCCCATTACAACACACTGTATAGGTCAACGAGTCGTGAACCAGAGGTAACCTTTGTATGGTCTCTAGCAACCGGAAGAAGCATTTAATGTGCTCGGTTTCACAATCCAATGGCCAAATGTGTAAACATGAAATGAGGTGCAGGAAACAGCTTCGTACAGTCTGACAACGAAGGACTTCTCCGTCACGGTAGGTATAAAGTTATCAAATTCTTTATTTTGTATCAAGGAGCTTTCGGTGTAAACACAAACCCCTCACACAAGTGGGCTGCACAGAGCTGCGACCCTTAAGAGCGCCAGAAACTTATGATTGTTGGTTCGAATCTCGGCTCGCTCCGATTATGTTTCTAGGTTTGTCAGCACCATGCTCGTTGGTGTCACCAAAGTGGTAAACGTCTGAGAACTGTTTCACCGCGAGCTTTCTTCCCACATAAAGCTGACACGCCGTGATATAACTGGAATACTGTTACAAGCGGCGTTAAACCATAATGTGATTATTCTGAAATAAGTATACGATATTTTGTAGGGTATTCGATAGACGGCGCCAGTGGGGTAGTCCAGTTGCTAAAGCGTTCGCCAATCCCGGGTTCGATTCCCAAATATATTAACCCGATTTCTGGACTCACACCGTGATAATGCTCGAATATCGCGGCGTAAAACCCTCACTTACCATCTCTCTCATGCAGCATTGACTAAATCAACAATTAATCATGAATATGATCATTGATGTGCGCGCGCACAACACCTCCTGGTTGGTTTCATCAACGTATAGACCGCGGTCTAGTGGTCCGTGGTCTAGTGGTAGAGCGGTCGCGTCATACCAAACATACCACACACAATCACTCACTCACTCACTCACACGGGCATGCACGTCGCTATATAAGTGCAATAATCTTGAACGCAACGTTAAACCCCATTTCACCTCACCTCAAATCAACGTATATAAAATGTCTTCAGGTTCTCATCAGTCTCACCAAATACGCTTACAGGCCTTCGTGTAACTGAAATCTTGCCTTAATCACAAGTCACTTATCACTAACCCCTCTGTCCCGTACTTTACCTATTGCCCTTGTCTCTGTAGGCAAGATGTCAAGTTTGGTGGAGCTGAAGGACAGTGGCGGTGCCAGTATGTCTGTGAATCGGTATGAAGACTGCTACTTCTACCGAGGGAGCCTGCCCATACCCTTTGATGAGCATATGCGTAGAGTGAAGGAGATGAAGCTCACTTCAGAGGATGTGCTATTGTGTAGCTACCCCAAGTCAGGTAATTAAGTTTTGTTTGTTTGTTGTTTAACGCCGCACTCACCAATATTCCAGCTATATGATGCCGGTCTGTGAATAATCGAGTCTGGACCAGACAACCCAGTGATTGACAATCGTGATACGATGACATGCATCAACCAAGTCCGCGAGCCTGACCACCCGATCCTGTAAGTCGCCTCTTACGACAAGCTTTTATGGCAAGCAGGGATTGCTGAAGATCAAGTCTAAGCTGGATCTCCACGGGTCCAGGCAATTAGGAGATAAACCTATTGTGTTTTGAAATTTGATGTAGTCCCATTATAGAGTAGATACCTCTTATTTTTATTTGGAAGCGAACGGTTTACTTTAGTTTAGCTTTAGTTTCAAATGTATAAATATGTATAAAAATGTATAAAATAGTAATGTATAAATGTATAAAAAAGGAAACCTCTTTTTAACCAATGAGAATCAAGCATTCGACAGTGTTATGGTTTAGAATCATTCGTTTATTTTAAATTTATGTAACTCTTTATACAATTAAGCTTTATTGAACTACATTGTATCTAAAAAAAACTAATGTGTGTTACATAGATATATAAAACATATATATAAAAGCCATTTGCAGCATTAACTGTACTTAATTAACTATAATAAAGAATAAATATGAAGAATGGCCACTTGCATTATATCCAAATAAATGATGTTATTTGAAGACAAGCAACTTTGAATTACTATTATGTCGCAATGGACGTGGCGATTAATCAATATATTCCTTGACAACTTTCCATACACATGTTCTCATCATCACCTTATCTCTGTATCAGGGGCGGTCGGGTAGCATAGTGGTTTAAGCGTTCGCTCGTCACCCCGAAGACCCGGGTTCGATTCCCAACATGGGTACAATGTTTGAAGCCCATTTCTAGTGTCCCCCGTCGTGATATTGCTGGAATATTGCTAAAGGCGGCATAAAACCATACTCACTCACTATCTCTGCATATATCAGTTAGAGACTGCCATTTGTAGAGTCATGTTGTAGAAATAAGTTATATTTTTTACGTTTCTCAGTGAACATATATCAGTGTTTTTCATGCATTCTGATAACATTAATATATGGTAATAATACATGTGTCTTTCCTAGGTACCCATAGTTTGTGGGAAGTGGTATCATCCATTGTGCATGGTGACATGGCGTCCAAGGAAAGTGTCTCCGATGTGGACATGTTAGACTTCACGTCCATGAAACTACTGGACAGAACCCCGTCACCAAGAATTCTGGGCTGTCACTTCCGTTTCCGGTTCCTTCCAAACGAGGTTCTCACTAAGAAGCCCAAGGTCATCTACCTCCAGCGTAGCCCCAAGTCAGTCGCTGTATCCTACTACACGATGACCTACGGCATGAAGACAGTCCGCAGCTATGAGGGCCATGTTCCTGTCAAGTTGTACCACGGTACATGGGACGATTATTTGGAGTCCTTTCTTGAGGGCGAAGGTAACAGTTGAAAGACATGAATATTTGTTTGTTGTTTAACGCCGCCCTCAGCAATATTCCAGCTATATGACGGAGGTCTGTAAATAATCGAGTCTGGACCAGACAATCCAGTGATTGACGCCATGAGCATCGATCCACGCAATCGGGGTACGATGAAAAGCTTCAACCAAGTCAGTGCGTGTGACCACACGATCCTGTTAGTCGCCTCTTACGACCAGCATAATCGCCTCTTACGGCAAGTAAGGGTTGGTGAAGACATATTCTACCCCGGATCGGGATACGATGACATGCATCAACCAAGTCAGGGAGCCTGACAACCTGATCTCTCTTACGACAAACGTGTCGCCTTTAACGGCGAGCATGGGTTGCTGAAGACCTATTCTGATCCGGATCTTCACGGGTGCGGCCATTCAATATTCTGGGTGGAGACGGGTGTGGGTAGGGCTGGGATCTGTTTGTGTATTAATTCTGTGGATAACCCATTTTCCCAGCATTTTCTCACAACATTAAATGGGTACCCGGTAGGATGAGAATGTGATTGTTAACCCTTTAGCACCTCATACGGCAACTTGAACTGTGTACTGCTCAGTGAGCTGAAAATTTAATTTGAGTGCACACTGATCCATTGACAAGGGTAATAATAACATAGCATTCTTCTTCTTCTTCTTCTTGATTGCTTCGTTTACAGTGGAATATGGATCCTGGTTCGACCATGTACTGGACTGGGAACAGGCAAGGGCAGATAATCCCGATTTGTCAATATTTCTACTGCAGTATGAAGACATGAAAAAGGTATGCTAATTCAATAGTTCATAATTCGTCACTTAAGGAGGGACCATACGAGGGCTGGCTGAAAAGTTCTAAGCCTAAGTGGGATATCTCAATCGGACTGAAACAAACTTCTGCCACCAACAAGTACAATCATTTAATGAATCATAGACACAAGAACTGCAAATGTAGTGTTATAATTGTCTTTGTACCAGACCATCTTGTGAACCTACCCATTGAATCACCAGAAATCGACAAAACTGGCTATAGGGAAGTCATCAAGTACCTGCAAATGAAAGGGCTAACTCCAACACAGATACATGCTGACATGGTCTCCACTTTAGGGGATGATGCCCCTCCCTTTTCCACTGTAAAGAAGTGGGCTGCGGAATTCAAGCGTGGCAGAGAGAGCCTTGACGATGACCCGTGTCAAGGAAGGCCTTCAACAGCAACCATTCCGGAAAACATTACCCGGGTGCATGACATGGTGATGGCTGATCGACGATTGACCACTCGACATATTACCAGTGTTGTGGGCATCTCTCATGAGAGGGTTGAGCACATTATCACCAACGATGGATAATGCAAGATGGGTGCCAAAGCTCTTGACAGCGGATCAGAAACGTGTCAGATTCCTGACGTCCCGTGACAATTTATGCCGTTTTGAAGCAGATCCCGATAATTTTTTGACCCGATTTGTAACCATGGATGAGACCTGGATTCATCACTTTCAACCAGAAACCAAAATTCAGTCTAAACAATGTAAGCATCCGGAATCACCAGCCCCCCCCCCCCCCCCCCCCCCCAAAAAAAAGCCAAGTCGGTTCCTTCTGCTGGAAAGGTGATGGCTTCAGTCTTTTGGGATTCCAAGGGTATTCTGCTGATTGACTATCTTGAAAAAGGCCAGACTATCAAGGGAAGATATTATGCTGATCTACTGAGACAGTTGCGTGCAGCTATCAAAGCTAAGCGACGGGGAATGCTCACTAAAGGAGTCCTGTTCCACCAAGACAATGCTCCTGTTCACAAATCGGTGGTTGCCATGTCAGCGATCCATGACTGTGGCTTCGAACTCATTGACCATCCCCCTTATTCACCCGATTTGGCCCCGTCAGACTTCCACCTGTTTCCCAAAACGAAAAAGGAACTAGCCGGTCGCCATTTTCCTAGTAATGATGACGTCATTTCCGCTGTGAATGACTTTTTTAGGGTGGCTGAAGAAAAAAAATTCTTGACCGGCATCCAGGCCTTGCAGCATCGCTGGCAAAATTGTGTAAACCTGGAAGGGGACTATGTGGAGAGATAAATGAAAACCATCGACTTGATACGGGTCTTTCACAGTTAGGCTTAGAACTTTTCAGCCAGCCCTCGTACTTCGCTACCTCGTGTCTAGTCAAGATATAGACCTGGAAAGAAGTGTTCTTTGTGAGTATGAGACATTATATCTCTGTATTTCGTTAACTGTTGCATAGATTTAGGTAATAAAATTCCAGTCATAGGACACATACAGTGTGTCCTTGAATAACACTTGCTGGGGCTGCCAATCCGCAATAACCTAGTCTCGCTTTAGCATAAATTACTGATTCAGTGTAAATGGGCGTTCGCGTTTGATTCAGGGTATATCTTCAACAACAATCTGTACACATATCTCACACTGAACCAACCATTTCTCTGCAAGTTCCTGATAAAATAGCATTGATAACTTTTCCCTTACAAGTGTTAGTCTAAGGCGCCGCGATTCGCTGTGCAGAGTTGCGTCCCTTTGGCACGCCAGAAACCTATGATTGTGGGTTCGAATCCCGGTTCGCCCCAATTATGTTTCTAGGTTTGTCAGCACCATAACCGTGCTCGTGGGTTTCAACAAAGTGGTAAACGTCCGAGACCTGCATCACTTCGGGCTTTCCTCCCACATCAAGCTGACAAGCCGTGATATAACTTCAATACTGTTAAAAGCGGCGTTAAACCCAACTCACTCACTATCACGTGAAAGTAAGCATGAAGCGATAAATCTTCCCGAGGCAAGGGAGTTAACTGACTAAGTTAAGCTTCAACCCTGCCGAATTAGGCTGGAATTATGGTGTTATATGTTGGCTGGACTAACGAGTGTATGCATAGTCCAATCAAAATCGCGAAACGAAATTGACTTTCGGTTCGTAAACTGCAGTGCAGATTTCGGTCGATTGCAGGATTTGCAAAGCATGTGTACCGTCAACATGCCGTCAACAGAAATTTTCCAAAGGTTTTCATGTTTTTAATCAAGGTCCTCACGTGATTTGTTGCACTTCGCAAAGTAAGACCCGTGTTATTTCATAGATCTTGATTATCGATCAGATCTTCTTGATTGGCACCGCCATTTTGTTTAAAGCAAATGCAAGTGATATGAGAGGTGGAATCTGATTGGTCACTAGGCAGGACAAAGAAGGGACGTAACTCGTAAAAGCCACTGGTGGCTCTACGATCGAACCCAGAAATCTCAGTCTGGTTCGGCAAGGGTGTAAACTGGACTTTTACAAGTCAGTTAACTCCCTTGCCTCGGGAGGATGGAGTGAGTATGGTTTTACGCCGCTTTTAGAAATTATCCAGCAATTTCACGGCGGGGGACACCAGCAATGGGTTTCACACATTGTACCCATATCGGGAATCGAACCTGGGTCTTCGGTGTGATGAACGAACACTTTAACCACTAGGCTACCCGACCGCCCCTCGGAAAGATGGAATCGATAGTGGGTAGGCTATTTCATACCATTTCGTGGCTAATAATGAAACAAACAAGAATGGTGAAGTGTTTCTTAGCTGGTGATGTATTTGATACAGGCATCACAGTTATGTTTTGGAATCTAATTTTGCAGTGTTTTGGTGACGTTCTGATAACGTTTGTTATGTTGTGGTGAAATTCAATTTTCAAATGTATGATCCCTTTTGCACGGCAGTTCAGTTTGAAAATTACAATGTTTTATTAACAGTACCTCAATGAAAATTTCAATTTCGGAGAAAAGTCTCTAAATTCTAAATATATAAAGTTATGGTGGAGGAGTCACGTGGGATCCACGCATGGTATGGAGACTGGAACGTATGTCTGCAAACTATCTTGTCCACTTGCAGGATCCCGTCTCATCGATTCAAAAGATGTCGGAGTATTTAGGAAAGGCGTGTGACGTTGACACCGCCACCAACATTGCACAGATATGCAAGTTTAGCACACAGCCACCAAAACGACCGCTGTCAGCAATAGTCCTTGCAGGTGATGGCAAGACAATAAGAAAAGGTTAATACTCACAAACATTTAATGATCATTCAACTTAAAAACTATTTTATTTTGTATATTTTTTCTCTATTGCGTATAACTCATAGAATCAAGGGGAGAACCTTGATTTTGGAGATATGCATCCTGTATCAGTAAACAGCTGACTTTCAATTCGAAACACATCCGTGTTTGTTTCCATCTTGACGTTGTTTCAAATTTGACGTTTTCTACTATCTATCATGATTCATACAGACTCTACACGCCGGCACTGTTTGTTGAAAGATATTACTAAAACCAAAAAATAATTTCTTCAATTCCATAATAAGTGGTAACAATTTCTTCTTAACCTTTATTCTCAGTATTTGATTCTTAGCTCTCTGTTGATACATGCCATGTTTGAGTCTGATTGTGTGTTGCAACTTTTTTGGTTTGAAATAGGACAATGTTTGTTTCCAACCCTTTAATTTTTAAAGAGTGTATTGTGTCATTCTATGCTGTCCGAAATATGTTTTTGACGGAATACTGTATTAATCCCCAACTCTGGGAACAATAAAATTAAAAAAAAAAAAACTTCTTAAATAAGCTCCTCAAAATGAATTTTAAAAGAATTCGCGATACAAATGTATGATTTTGCCTTTGTATTGCTTTGTTAACGTATTAGCCGACATGTCAGGAATGTGGAAAAATTCCAGTTTGGAGCCATTTCATTACCGCTAGACTATCAATCTTACAAAACAAATCCATAAGTGTTTCCCTGAATGACAGAGGGATACAAGCATCATTGGTACCCACTAAAATGCCACATTAATTTGACATTTTTCTCGTCTTACCTACCATTAAAAAACATGAAAGCAAATTATATTTACTTCGACCACCAATCAAAGGTTTTGAGAAAAAACACCGTAAACCAACTATAAAATTGTAATAATCTATTGTGATCGATGTAAGGTGACATTTGACATTATATAATATCAAGCTTGAAGCTTGGCGTCTTTGTATGAATGGAGTATAGTATCCTGCCTGCTGTTCATATGGTGTCAGCCCCCATGAGTGAGTGAGGGAGTTAAAGTTTAACGTCACATCGGCAATATTTCAGCCATATCGTGACGAAACAAAAGTTGACATGATCAGCCCCCATGAAGATCCGGGTTAAAAGCCATGCTTGTCGTAAGAAGCGACTAACAGGACTGGGTGGACAGGCTCGATGACTGCATAGCTCGATGCTCAAGATATCAATCACTGTATTGTCTGGTACAAACTTCATCATTTACAAATCGCCGGCATTTAGCATAAATATTGCTGAATGCGCGTTAAACAAAAAACAAACAAAAATATATGGTGTTGGTTGTGTCAGATGCTTGAGTTTCGGCACGAGTTTGCAAAGTTTGTTTGTTTGTTGTTTAACGCCGCACTCAGCAATATTCCAGCTATATGACGGCGGTCTGTAAATAATCGTGTCTGGACCAGACAATCCAGTGATTAATATCATGAGCATCGATCCACGCTATTGGGCACGATGACATGCATCAACCAAGTCAGCGAGCCTGACCACCCGATCCCGTTAGTCGCCTTTTACGACAAGCATAGTCACCTTTTACGGCAAGCATGGGTTGCTGAAGACCTATTCTACCCCGGATCTTCACGGGTGGAGTTTGCAAAGGGTGGAAACAGTCAGGAACGTTATTGTGGAAAATAAGGAGTCACTGAAGCATCATTATATAAGGGCTGTAGCGCCCTTACTTGAAGATCTTGTACGGCTCTTCAATCGGTAATGTGTGGAGAACTGCAGAACTAACTCAAGTTACAACTCCCAACCTAATAACAGAGCCCGCGTATTTGATTAGATCCTTGCATTCAACAAGGGCGGAAGGTGCTACAATGCATGCGACGAAACGACGTGGCACAATAACGATCAAGAAAACAGCGTTATCACTTTTCCCCGCCATGGCGCACATTAGAGTTTTGTTTGTTCATATACATGTAGTAGTGAATATACACTATAAAAAAGAGTCCTATAAAGCCTTAAGAAGAGATAAGGCACTTGGGCCTCAGAAAAAAAGAATAAATGTGAATCTAATACACACAAAAGGCCGCTTCTCTGGGAAAAATAAATCGTCTTGGTAGATATCTCTTAGATGAGCTAACTTTTCAGAGAAAACGTGTCCCGATTGCAGAAACTTTGCACCAAGTGACATGGATCAAGGGCCGTAACTCTGTAAAGAACATACATGACGGGACCAATTTTCGAACTGTCTTGACAAGTATTTCTAAGATAAGCATGCAAACTTTCATTCATGTAACTTCAGTAGTTTCTGAGAGAACTTGTCCCCATTTTAAGCAGTATGAAAAGCACGGAGCAAGGACCATAACTCGCTGACTTGGTTGATGCATGTCATCGATCCCAGATGCGTGGATTGATGCTCATGATATCAATCATTGGATTGTCTGGTCCAGACTCGATTATTTACAGACCGCCGTCATATAGCTGGAATATTGCTGAGTGCGGCGTTAGACAACAAACCAACCAACCAACCAACCAAATGAAATTAATTTACATATACCTCGCCTTGTAGGAAGTACAGATGATATGGCTGCTCCCTAAGTTTGTTTCGCAGTAGGCTGTAGATGAAACAATGTCTGTTGTAGGTCGAGCAGGTGACTGGACGCACTGGCTGACTGTGGCGCAAAATGACCAGTTTGATAAGGTATACAAGATGAAGATGGCGAAGAGCAGCTTTCTGAATCACTACAATTGAACTGCCTTTTATATTTCCGAATCTACTGCGGAAGTGCTGCGTGGTGTCCATGCTGTCGAAAGTTTGTTATTGGTGCTGCACTGAATCATTGACACTGCCAATAAATAGCAAAACTTGTTTAAATACTCATAAAATTGGTGTTTTTTTTATGTTGGTCCTTGTTCAGTACTTACGTCAGCCTCTACCAAGTTTCTCAAATCCAAATCTCCACTCATGAGCAGGTTTGCAATATGGACATCCGAGTAAAGAGTGAGTGAGTGAGTGAGTTGGGTTTAACGCCGCTTTTAACAGTATTCCAGTCATATCACGGCGTGTCAGCTTCATGTGGGAGGAAAGCCCGAAGTGATGCAGGTCTTAGACGTTTACCACTTCGGTGAAACCCACGAGCACGGGTATGGTGCTGAAAAACCTAGAAACATAATCGGGGCGAACCGGGATTCGAACCCACAATCATAGGTTTCTGGCGTCCTTAGGACGCAACTCTGCAAAGCGAATCGCGGCGCCTTAGACGACTGGGCCACCCGTGCCCCCTCTGAGTTAAGGAGAGGTGATGCTGAAGTTGCCATCAGATGCTGTCATAACTATTATGTTCTCATAATGGATGATTTGTTTGTTTGGTTTTTTTTGTTTAACGCTGCACTCTGCAATACTAGTGTTCCAGCTATATGACGGCGGTCTGTAAATAATCGCGTATGGACCAGACAATCCAGTGATTGACATCATGAGCATCGATCCACGCAATTGGGATACGATGACATGCATCAACCAAGTCAGCGAGCCTGACTCCCCGAACCCGTTAGTCACCTCTGGCGACATGCATGGGTTGCTTTTCTATCCCGGATCTTCACGGATCAGTACTGAGTGAGAGATGGATTGCAAGCACTGGATTGTCTGGTCCAGATTCGATCATTTACAGACCGCCGTCATATAGCTGGATTATTGCTGAGTGCGGCGTTAAACAACAAACAAATAAACCAGTCAGGAGTTTAATGCATCCTCTAATGGAAGTTTATCGATCTACGCAATTGGGATACGATGACATGCATTTACCACATCAGCGAGCCTGACCACCTGATCGACAAGCATGGGTTTCTGAAGACCCGATTCTAACCCGGATCTTCACGGGTGCTTTCCGTAAGCCAAGGCGTTAGCTAAATTCGACCGACTGGTCAGATTCAATTACTTGGCGCTAGTTAACGGGTACAGTCACATAAGAAATATTATACAGAAGGCGTGGGGCTTTGCTGATAATGTTAACCACTGGTTTTCTTGAGTATTTACAGGCCGACGTGATAGAGATGAAATATTGCTGAAGTGAAGTTAAACAACATACGTTCTTTCACCCACTCAGTACTGATCCGTGAAGATCCGGGGTAGAATAGCCCATGCTTGCCGTGACAGGCGACGATGCTTGTCGTGAGAGGCGACTTGCGGGATAGGGTGGTCAGGGTCGCTGACTTGGTTGATGCATGTCATTGTATCCCAATTGCGTGGATCGATGCTCATGATGTCAATCACTAGATTGTCTAGTCCAGACTCGATTATTTACAGACCGCCGTCATACAGTCGTGCTATTACTGAGTGCGGCGTTAAACAACAAACAAATAAATCACAAGTGCTGCTAAATCGTAAGGTTTACATGTTTCAGAACCACATGAATACACAGGCTCAAGGATGGCAACGATGATATCATTTATGTGTGTCGCAAATCTACCTGAATCAGCCGTTTAGATAATTTTGCGAAAAAATAATTCAAGTCAACTTACTATATAACTTACATAACACTCGGGCATAGTGGTGATATCACTTGATTTACCTATAAACCGCATACCGACCGACCCAACACGTTTCAGAATGACTGTTTTGGTTGATTGGTTGGTTTGTTGTTTAACGCCGCACTCAGCAATATTCCAGCTATATGACGGCGGTCTGTAAATAATCGAGTCTGGGCCAGACAATCCAGTGATTGACATCATGAGCATCGATCCACGCAATTGAGATCGATGACATGTATCAACCAAGTCAGCAAGCCAGACTACCCGATCCCGTTAGTCACCTTTTACGGCAAGAAAGAATGACTGTTGGATACGGCCACAAGAAATTAGGCGTACAAGTGTTTGGAGCAACATGTATTTTAGGGTCTCGACTGCCGCTTGATTGTGTTGCGTAATGTGAAAGAGCGTACCAGTTGAGATGACCTATATATGGGATTGTTGTCAGAACCGAATGCAAATTTACCGGCCACGCTCACACTGTCCTGATAGGTAGTAGGCAGGATCTCTTGCCTTTACTTTGACAAACATCCTTCGAGATGTTAGAAATAGTGTCGGCAAGTTGTCACATCTTTTTATTTAGCGTAATGGTCGTGGATGGTTTGGTTTTCTCTTAGTCTAGACAACTTTCCTCTACAATTCCATTGGATTAAAAATTGGGAGAGCAACTCATGGAGGCTCAATTGGAGATTGCGAGTGGGGGCAAGGTTCTCTACGCTGTAATGGCAGCGATGGAGTAGCCTCCATATCCAGAGGTTCAAAAGGGTTATGAACCTCCAGAGGAACAATCAGTGGCAAAGGCTCCGCAAAATGTTTAAGGGCCCTTGCTTCTTTTTTACGTTGTTTTTTTTCTCACTTTTCGAAAGCGGTCTACTTGTTCAGAAGTCAGGTACAGGGCAAGGTTACAGTTTCAGGGAGCAGTTCAGTTTGGGAAGCTGATGAATATGAAGTGCTGGTATCATCAGTATCAATTTGATACAATATTTTCTGAACATTTGACACCAAGCTAAGAGCTGTTTGACAACCATTATCAGCTTTGGTAGGAGAAGAGGCGATTGCAGCAGAATAAGTCAGCGAAGAGGTGGAAGTGGTTGATTCACTTGTTACCACTTTCTTTGCGTCTCTAAATGAAATATCTTTGGTGGAGTTTATTTTCAGGATTTTGGTTTGTGTTACAAAAGAGGGACATGATTTTTAAGTGGACATGTGATCACCGCTGCAGTTTGCACATTTGATGGTATTTGTGTAGTCAGTGCTATCATGAGTCTCACTACAGTGGGAGCAAACTTGGGTGTGATGGCAGGATCTAGCTCCTTGTCCAAATTGTTGATATTTAAAACAACGGAGTTTATTGAAGATGGAAGATTTGCGAGGTTGAAGGTAAAAAGGTACGTATTAGTTTTGATGATTTTGTCACCATCTTTCCTGTTGAACTGTTTGACTGAAGACACACCTTGAGGCTTCAATTCTGCTACTATTTCCTCTTCAGACATGTCCGAGAGGCACTTCACGTTCAAAGCCTCTACATGAATTGAGTGTTTTGTGCACAGAGACGACAATCTCTGTATTTGCAAAATGATCGGCTTTGAGTAGATTAAGAGATTGCTGTCTCCTTGCACACTCCACAAGCAGTGAATCGGCCCGAAAACGAATAACATTCTTCACAGTAGCACAAAGTCTCCTTGCACACTCCACAAGCAGTGAATCGGCCCGAAAACGAATAACATTCCTCACAGTACCACAAACACCTTCAATTGATTTCGAAACTACAAAGGGATTGAGTTTGAGAGGCTCACCATCCATCCCTTCAACATCCAGAAATCATGGCCAAGAATCAATAGTTTGTACAGAATCCTCATCAGAAGATATTGTAGGCTCTGTGTCAATATGCCTTCTTTTATTTTTTTTGTCGAGAACCAGTGATCTGTGGGGTAGCCATAATGAATAAAAAGGATGTTCGACACCCCTGCTCCCCATCCACCATGGAGTATCTACAAGGACGGTGCTGCAGGGGAAACCCGACTACAAACACCAGGGTTACAGGCATGCTATACTCGAGTAATACAGACAAGGGTAGCTAAGAGAGTCAAACAGAATAAAGTCAGGCTGGTTCCGCCCATGACAATTTTCTGAAGACAAATAGAACCCGGAGGTACATAATGCCAGATTGGCCCATGAGCCACTGATTTCAGGCATGGGAATCTAGGCAGATTAATATCACACACAAATTTTGATGTTTTCCAGAACTATTGAGTGGAATATAAGTATATATTTATTCAAAATCAAAGTGAATCATGCTCAGGGCATGGCGTGGCCAGCCGATTGATAAAACCAGGCCCATTCTACCACCCGTCTAGGTGAAGTTAGGGTCGTGTGTTGGACAAAAGGAACACTGTTCCTGGCTCCAGTGCCCTCAACCACCAGAATCCCTTTCTCCACCGACACAGGGACGCAACCCACGGCAAACAGGTTGCCCAATATGTTCGCCTCATATGACAAGCAATGGGGTGCTGAGGACATATTCTGCCCCGGTTCCAAATGGGGAAGATCGATTAGCGTTACCCAGCACTCGCCACGTGGAGGTTGCTCTTCCTGAGTGCCTCAATCACAAGGAATCGAACCCAAGAATCATTGTTTTGAAACACATTTTCAGGTGAACTGTCATTTTCAAGTTTCATAACGAGTTGAACCAGATAGTTGTCGCGACATGTTGAAAGGAATTTATTCAGCACCCCTGTTCCCCACACACCATCAAGTGTCAAAAAAGACCATGCTTCAGTGGAAGCCGGGCTGCAACACCAGGGCTACAAGGGTGGTATACTCCAGCAAATACAACACGAATAGCTATATTTGTCCATCACCAGATTGGCCCATGAACCACCGCCTTCTGGCAAAGCGATTGGGGAAAGAGCGAGGGTGGTGGGATCTATGACATGATTCTTCGTGTGAGGGTGTCAAATCCCTGAATTTCATGTTTTGTCCAATCAACAACACCAAAGGAATATGAAAGCACGGGCACAGCATAAGTATTGTTGCTTTAACTTTATTGCGAGCGTTCAGCTCTGAACTCCACATTTGTACTCTGCCCGAAGTTTGCCCTTGATATGGGCATTCTGGAATTTGTCCGTAATCTGCATCTCTAAGTACGTATAGGCCTGGCCTTCCACAAGATGGTCAAAAACTCCTCTCCAAGGAAACTGACTGATCCTCCCTCTTCTACCTTGCCACGTTTCAGATGAAGAATGCTACATTTGTCGAATCCGAAGGTCGTGCCTATGTCATTAGAAAAGGACTCTACAAGGAGAATCTGTTTACTGAGTGTGGATCCTCC